ATCCTGTTCTTAAATCTATTTTTGGCTCAACTATGCATTTAATTAAGAGCAGGACATATCTCCCTATGCTCTGTGTGGGAAAAGCTAGATTTCTTTCATAAACCAATAGTAATCCTTATCACTTCCCTTTTCCCCTCAAATATAACAAAATAGAGGGAAATTCCTTTGCTACTTTCCCTAAGATAAAAACTTAAGCACACAGTTTTTGAGTGCGATTTTGAGCTCCGCCTTTGCTAGAAAATGTCTTAAATATACTAAGTGAAGTTAATAAAATATTTTTTGCCTTCCAACTGCTATCTGCGTGGCCTAACATCACTCACCATGACTGCTACCCTTTCATATATATATATATATATGTTGCAATTAAAAATGAATATGGTTTTACTTGATTAATAATAAAAATAAAAATTAACTTTATTGCAAATTTGAGTTATTATTTCATATTTTTGAATACATTGAAATCTGAAAAAATATCTTACTATGCAAGTAAGTTTACCACTTCCCCATAATTACAACAGGTATGCTGTTTTAAATTAAAATAGGATGAAATAGTTGAATATAAAACAACTTTTTCTTAATTTTTTGATACATTATGCTGATAGTATGTTGACAAATTTTAAATACTCCTCAATAAGCCTCCTATAATCATATGTTATAAAGATTACAATTCAATTTTGAAAACCATGGAATTTTCTTCAATTATATGCTTATTGTATTTTATGTTAAGGTGATTTAGGCTCTTGTATCTTTTTAATATCCTGTATTTGTTGCATTTATGTTGCTTTATCTTTGGAAACTGTTTAAGTGATTTGGTTTCACTCAATGTATATTTGCATGTTTTAAAACAAGGATAGTTTTTATAAAATTAGCTGCAACATAATTTTGCGATTTTTTTGCAAATAGTGAACAAGTTTTCAAAAAGAATAAAAGCATCGGTAAAATAAATGCAAGTATTTCAAATTTTTAAAACATTTGAATATGTAAAAATCAAAAATTTCACTAAGGCTAGCTAATTGAGCCCCTTGACATTTTTAATTCGTAAAAATAAGTATTTTAAATGATTTATCTTATAGTAGAAACACTCAAAAATCTTTTACAAATTTTCAGAGCAGAAGTTGGAGAATCTTTCCTCACTGCTAGATCACAAAGGTAATTATGTTAATTTTTTTTAATCTGTTTTGGCTGATCCCTGGTATATGTATAAGAGAGATTGTATTATTTATGATTTTACCTTATCTGACATGACATTAAGTAGTTTGTAAAATAATAGTATTAGTAAACACAATTAGTGGTTTTAAAGCATTGATACAGTCAAACCTCGATGTATCGTTCCCACGTATTTCATTTTCATAAATATTGATTGTAGTTAAACATGCATAATTGGAGCTTTATACAGTCAAACCTTGATTAATTATTCACACGCCTTTTGTTTTCCTATATGTATTGTCTTTTTTTTACAGTCCCTTCACAAATGCTATTTTTATAATGTTAATAATGCAGATCTCTGTCTTTATCGTTCAGAAATTCTACTGGCATTTTCTAAAAATAATTAAACTAATTCGTTTTGTAAAGAAAAATAGTAACTGCTGAAGCTAAAGATGAAGAAAAAAGTGAGGAAAAAATCTCAAACATCACATTTGATATTCATGTATCAGTTGATGAAAATGTGGAAACTTGTAGTGTTGTTGGTTCAAGAAATTGTTGCAAAAATTGAAGTACAATGGGATACCGATGGAAACAATGGATTTGGCCACAACCAGGTTTGGAAGGAAGCTTTTAATATGATACTAAACTTTCTGTACTTATTGAAACTTACAGGAAAGGAACAGCAATCTGTTGCAAACGTCAAAATTTATTGCTTGAGTGATTTTGTTTTAACCAAAATTTACAAATATTTTAAATAAGTAAATATGTCTGATTCATCCTTCTTTTTTTTTTTCGTCAAAATTTTTATGTTAAGTACATAATTTTTTCAATTAAAATTTTAGACTAATTATTAAATTATTTATTTTTAAATCCATTACGTCTGTATTATTTTTCATACATTTTTATGTCACTGTTCAATATTTTAAGGTAACCTGCATTCGTCATTTTCTCATACCTATCTTTCATAATGAATGATCCCTTAAAAAACTATCAATCCAGGTTCTACTGTAATTGAAAAAAGGAATAATTGTTAAGAAATATTTGCTTGCTTTCATTGGGAAGAATAAGAAAAATTATATATAAGTAAAAATTTATCTTGACGTAACGGGTTAAAAAATTAATTTTTATTAACATAAGCTGCTGATAAGGTTTAATTTAGTGTGTACTCATATTCTCTCTAATATTTGTTCTATTTTAAAATATTGTTCATGTCATGTTCTGGTTGATTTTATTTTTTTCTATAATGTCATTTCTCTGATCACTTGCAATCACAATTTTTGCAGAGTTTTATTATCATTATTTAAATATATCTATTAGATTCTTGATGCTTGAACAAGAGGAATTGGAAGAATTCTTTCAGATTCACAAACAATTTCCCTTGAAGAAACAGGTAATTTTTTAACATTTTTATCATGATCTTAATATAACCATAAAAGTAATTGTAAATTTATTTTCTAATTTTACCTTTATTTGGTATTTTTCCAGAAATTTTGCTTAATTTTTTTATCCAAAAGTCATTTTAATAATTGCTGAAAGCAAAAAATTATATATTATTATTTATAAGTTGTACTGTCACACATAAGTTATATTGCTTTTTAAAACTACCCCTAAATTAACTTGATGCATAATAGTTTTTATATTTAATTGGATACAAACTTAAGTCAAATTATTGTTAGAAGAATTACATATTTTTAATTTCAACTCTAGATAAATAAACTTAAATCAGTGTTATTTTGTCACAGAAGTGTGAACTTCAACAATAATGGGCAAAAAATATTTACGTTTGTTTGTTTCAAATAAAAATGTTATAATATTTTTATATAGTACTGTAAAGAAATATATTTATTTTTATATTTAATTTTAAATATGGTTTTTAAGTTTTAAGGAAAAGAACCTGTTATGACCAATTTTAATCTATGCTTTATGCAGCGCTAAATAGACTTTATAATTTTAGTTATTCCTCTTGTGATATTTTTTACATAATGTAGAAAAACACTTGTTAAATATATGATCAACGTAATAGTTTGGTTCTGTTAGATAAATTTAAACTTCCAATTTTCTGAAGTTTAGTTAATTAACTTATTCATGACCCAGTCATTTCTAAAACTCTTAATACTATTGTACTGCTAATATAGAGTTATATTTACTTCAAATGGAAGGGAAAAAACATTAGAAAAGTGAAATTCTACAAATTGCATATTATGTTGATTTAATAATTTATTTTTATTTAGACTGTTGTTACATGTTTAAGTGCCATGAAAAAAAGCATGGCTGAAGAAGATGCAGTTAGTTGCTTAGTTTTAGGCACAGAAAATCAAAATGTCTATGTTCTGGAACCAGATGCTTTTACTATCCTTTCAGCAGTAAGGTTTATTGAAAATATTATTACAAAATTGAGCTTATATTGTATATTAATTTTATTAAGTGTTTTTTTTTCTTTCTTTTTTTTTGCTATTTTCGGAATGAAAAATCTGAACTTTATTAGTCTTCCAATTATTAGTTAATGTTATTTTTGTTATTAGATAATGATAGACATTTTTGTAGCATATAAGATGTATTTTAAACATTTAACATTTAATTTATATTAACATGAAGAATTGATTAAACATCAGAATGTCAGAATCTGATACTTTGTAATTCTATCACTATTTATTAAATCTGTATCATTATTCTCGTTATTCATCAGTGATGTACACCTTTATAGCATTTATTTATAACATAATTTTATGATGTTTTTTAGCATCAACAGGTAAATTGTATTAAAAATCAAATTGCAAGAAATCTTAGACTCATTGATTTTTCAATAATTAAATATATTTCTTTATTTTTGCTCTTCGTTATTGATGTATACTTTTATAGAATTCATACAATGTTTTTTTAAGGACTTGACAAATAATTAACACCAATATGGAAAATGTATTAACCCAATTCAAACTTAGCATAGAAATTTTATAAAATGTGGTACTATTTTTATCAAACTATGCTTAATACAATAATATTACAAAAAGTTTTGTGTGGAAAAAGTATTACTTTATTTAAGAAATGAAATGGTGCATAAATGATAATAAAATGCATAATGGTAATGGTGCATAAATGGTAATGGTGAATAAAATGATAATTCTTTTTATGTAACTTGCAACATTTAATCCATAATAAAAACATATGGTTAAAATTATAATTAAAATTATGGTTATAATTATGCATTTTCAAAAAGTCAAATTTGTCACTATCCATTTGAAGTTAAAATAAAAAATATTCTTTCATTTTTAATTAAATTTATTTCTTTATATTTGTTATTCATTAAAGATGTTTATTTTTATGGCATGTATATATTTTAAATCTTTTACTTACAACATACTTAACATGAAAAATCAATTCAAAATTTATGTATAAATATGTTAGATGAGTTTTCCAAATCAATCTTGCTGTGTATTTACTAATTTTATATATTCTATGAACTTCAGTTTACATTCTTTAACCTTTATTCTGAAACATGAATTAAATATTTTATTTTATTTAGATTGTAATTTTTGCAGATGTCTGTTCCAAGTGTTCCAGTATTTATGGATGTTAGTGGTTTATTTGATGTTGAGTTTAGAATAGTTGTTGCATGTCGTGATGGCTGTCTTTATATGCTCAAAAGGTATTTCAAATATATTTTATTAATTTTAAAGCGAAAGTTAAATGTATAGATTATTCAATTTTTTAAGTTTCAGTTTACATTTTTCTTCATGTATTAACATGGCAAAAAATTAGACAATAAATCCAAATGTTATTTTTTTTACTTTGAAAATGTCACTCTTCTAGCTGACATAAAAAAATTAGAAGCTATCATGATGTAATATTAATAATGTAATTGGAAGAATATAATCTTTCTTTCTAGCAAATATTCCCTGCTTAATATTTTAATTGTTTATTTTATAAATAGAACTTAAACATTAATTAATATTTTTTTAAAAATTATGTTGCATTATGACTAATCTTTTTAATATTTATTTATAGAGGTTATAAAGCAGCACGTTTTTGTGTGAAGCTCAAGTCTCAATGTGTTGGTCTTCAGCGTGTCAATAACAATATTATTGTTGGAACCATGGATGATAAACTTAGTAGTTATAACAGCAAGGTATTAAGATGAAATTTTTCTGTTAATTTAATTCTTCTCTGCTTTTAATATCATTAAATAAACTGTAAGTATTTTTAAGCAGATCTTTGTATATTTGTGAATTTTATTATATCTAGAATTGCAGAGAACTTTTTATTTTTAATTTTTTTTTATCATCTTTTGTTTGCTTTCATCCTAACTTTTGTAAGGGGAAATGCTTATGGAGTTTACAGTTACCAAGTAATGTTGTAACTATCGAAGCTGTGGATATAATGCAAATGGGCATTCGTTTAGTGGCAGTAGCACTTGGTAATGGAATTGTCCAGTTTTATCAAGACAAGTTCCTGGTGGATGTTTTAGTTGCTGAAGATGTAGTGTCTGCCATTCGATTTGGAAGATTCGGTCGAGAAGATAATTCATTAGTTATGTGTATGAGAGGTTAGTGAGAAATTTTTGTGAATCAATTTAATATGTTTTCATTTAAAATATAAGTTATTTCATCATAATAAAATAAGTATCTAAATATTTTAAATTATTTTATGCTGATATTTAACATACGTGAAACATTATTTTAATTTTTTTACACAGTCATAAAGTGATTATTTGTCAGTTTAGTCTTAAAAACCAGAGTTAAGTGAAATTTGTCAAATTGAAGTTATTGTCTTAGAAAAAAACTGGTGGCACCTTCAAATTATAATAGTTTTTCATAGTCATATTATTTGAAATGCATACACAAAATACATAGAGATCCTACTATTTTACAATATGTTTCACTTGTTAGAATGTAAAATTTAGAACTGTTTGAAATATGTAATTAAACATTTTATCAATTTTAAAAACAATTGTTTTTTATTTGATTTAGTTTATTTTCAATGGTATAACATTTTGCTTACTACCTGCAGAGTCTCAGCTGACGGTAGAGAAGTTATTCAATTTTTAAGAATACACATGCAATTTTGTTTAATACCTACGTGCTTTAATTTTATGGTTTTAAAAATTCAGCATCTTAATCAAGCATTTGAAGACAAAAATGGAATAGATGAAGACATTGTTTTTTTTATCCAGCATCAAAATAAACTCAATACTTTTTCTACACAACACATTTATTATTGGCTAAACTTAACTATTATTCATGCTCTTTTCAAGACAGCTCTCTATTCAACTATTATTCATGCTCTTTCTGACACTGATAGCGTAAATCTATGTGAGATAGTGTTAAAAATCATGAATCAAAAAAGTTTGGTGTATACCGCTATTTTAATTCTGTAAACCAGCATCACATCATTATCAAAGAGAAACAGAATGCTGAGATTTTGTTGAATTTGTTATGTTTGTCTGTTGTATTAAAACAACTGTGTCAACTATTTTTGTGAATCTAATGCTTAATAAATTTATATCCTTCAACTCAATGCATATCTTCCAATGCATAAATTTATATCCTTCCTACCTTATTATGATTGGCTTTTTTTCCACTTTCACAACGTCTCACACACTGTTTCTATACCTTAATTCCCTTTTGCTACAAAAAAGAGGAAAAAAAAACATTTTAGCTACTTTTAATTTAATTACAGGGTTCCCACGGTCCTTGAGAGTCCTTGAAAGTCCTTGAATTTTTTTTTGCTAAATTTAGGTCCTTGAAAGTGCTTGAAAAACGTCTTAGGTCCTTGAAAAACTTGATAGGTCCTTGAATTTGTCCAATACTGCCGGCGACCCTTTTTATAAAACACCCGCGGATCTTTCTCGTTCTTTCTGTTTTGTTCCCGAGCTCTCTCACGTGGTTTTTAACGCCACCGTTTCTAACCGGGCCTAGCGTCTTGGTGTCTGCCAAGCGCGCGGAGCACAGCAGACAATCAATGCGTTCGGGGCGAGACTCCACTTCATCTTCTGTCGCATATGCTTAGATCTTCTTTTTTCTTATCGAAACTGGAATACTCTCGAATTTCGTAACAATATGTACCTTGTAGTTTTCAATAAATTTGCCGTTTTACCATCCGCACTTGTCCTTACGTTTGCGTCATTTCAAAACTTTATTGTAAAGCGTATTCGCAAAGGCACGGCTTCGTATTTGTGTTATGTAGTTTAGACTAGTTATGCCTGGGAAGTGCTATTTTAATCCCCAATGGATGGATAATCAAGCTTATAAAGAATGGATTTTATCGATGCCCGAAAAGAAGTTCAGAGCCAAGTGCCGATTATGCATGAAGGAGATCGATATCGCGAAAATGGAAGAATCTGCTCTGAAATCACACATGAAAGAAAGGTAAAACAAAAAAGCAGTCTCATGCCCTGAGTTCTCTTTTTCCAAAGACATCAACATCTAATTCATCTGGTGTAAATACTCCTTCAACATCGTGTGCCCCATGTGAAACAGAAACTTTAGTGGCCGAGGTAACATTGTCTTCTTATCTGGTCAAAAGGAATGTGCTTGATGCTGAAATTCTCTGGAGTCTGAAGTGCATCACTAGTAATTATTCATGTAACTCCTGTGAAGGGATTAGTAAATTGTTCTCCAAAATGTTTGCTGATAGCTGTATAGCGAGACAATTTTTTTGTAGTGCCACAAAGTGAGCCTATTTGGGCTCCTTTGGATTGGCACTATACTTCAAAGGGATTCTTATAAATGAGCTGAAGAATGTTGATTGCTACACTGTACTCTTTGATGAGACGTTAAATCAGTCTCTACAATCTAAGCAGATGGACATTATGGTAAGGAATTGATAATAAAGTTTGCACTAAGTATCTTACCTCCCAATTTATGGGTCATGGAACTGCAGAAAATATTTTGTCCTCTTTTTACAAATGCATGGATGATGGTTAAAAGCTCTCTAAAATACTTCAATTATCCATGGATGGACCCTATGTCAATTGGAAATTCTATTAGAAGCTTCAGTGTGAATTAAAAGAGAAATATTCCCACCAGGTCATATTCATTGGCAGTTGTGGATTACACATAACGAATAATGCTTTTAAACATGGTGAAAATGGGATATGTTCCTTCTAATTTTTATTTTCAGAAAGAATTGTTGCTGCATAACATTTAGAGAAGGTTGTGTAAATTATGGATGAATAATTTCAGAAACGATGTTTAATAGAGGAGAGGAGGGGGTTATGGAATAGTCATGGAATATGGAATACCTAAGATTTAGCTCTGTCTTTCATGCAGCCTTCACATGGAAATACACAGGATTAAAGGATTTCACCATTAACACCTCATTACCATTAGTTATAGATTGTGCTGAAAATGATTTTGTGAATTAATATGTAAAACCAGTAGGGTTGTTTTTAAAAAAATATAAATTTTAGTCCATAATACATATACTCTCTTCTCTCTATATAGGCAAAGCATTTAGGTATTATATTTGAAATTAATTATTGCCACAACAAGCATTGTTGCTTCTAGTAAAATAGAAGAGAATAATTTTTAAAATTGGTCTTAGATTAAGGTCCTTGAAAATTTTGTTGAGGTCCTTGAAAAGTCCTGGAAAGTCCTTGAATTTCAATCTCATCATAGAGTGGGAACCCTGAATTAACAAATTCTTCAATTTTGAAATTTTAAATACCAAAGAATGTTGTACTTAAAATCTAAAGCCATAAAGAAAGCCATCTAAAGCCATTAAGCCATAAAATTTAAACTCCTTATAAGTTTTGTACAATATTCCTTAAAATTGCATTTATGAAAATCAATATTCAAAAAGTCTGTTCTTTTTAAAGTTAAAAACTTTAAATGCATTTATGCATATAAATAGAAATTAATGTAAGTGTAAAGGAAACCAAGAGTTAATTTAACAAAAAATATTTTAAGCTATTTGACCTTTTTAAACTAAGTTTTTTAACTTTTAAAGTCTGCAAATATTAGGCCTGTCACAATGGTTTTACCAATTAATCAATCATAATATTAGATATTTATAAACTATATTTAATATTTTTTCAGGAGGAGGCTTATCTGTAAAAATATTAAAACGAACAGCAAAGTTTGAGAGCCAAGACTACTCTAATTTAGCTTTAGACTTGCAAAACACAAAATTAAATTTGCCTAAAAAGACCAAATTATTTGTGGATCAAACCATGAGAGAACGAGAACACTCAATAAGTAAGTCAGAAAATTATAAAATTTTTGAAATAATTTTAATCAAACAATTATCTTTATGTACCGTAAGCAAATAAGATGTGTATTATTTTTTTATGTATTAATTTTATTTTAAAGTATGCATTTGTATCTTCCTAGTAATGCACCGTGCTTTTCAACACGATTTGTATCGACTTCGTCTTACAACTTCTAGAGCCTATGCAAATGCTCTTACATCAAGTCAAAACCCAGTGTCTTATGGAGCTATTGATCCTTTGAAATTGTCTGCACAAGTATGAAACACTATTTCAAATTTGATTTCAAAATTTAATAATAATGATATATTATGGTTTAATATTCTTTTTTTAACCTATAAATAGATATTTGATGTTTTTATAGCAAAAGATTTTTTTCAATAACCATGGCAAAAGCTAAGTTCCAATTATAGGTGATATTTTAAATATTTGTTTCTTATTAAATATTTAAATTTGCATAAGTTGACTAGACATGCATATTTTTATTTATTGAAATCTAAATGTAAGTTGTTAAATAAATATAAAATCAAAAAGCACGTTATAAAAATATCTTTTTTTTTACATTTAATGCTGATGACAGCTGAAGATATCTTAATCTTTTTTTAATTGAGGGTTATATCATGTAATTTGTTTGTCCAATAAGAAATAGTCAGCATGAGCATGAGTCATTTGATACTATGTCATTTGGAATGAGGATAATCCTTTATATAATTAGATTATCAACCATTTTTAATAATAGTAGTTCTCTCTTTATATATGGAAAGTAATACACTTAAATCTGTCCAGGAAAGTAATATATTCTTATTTGTTTCACTACAAATTTTCGAAAAATTTCAAAATAGGCTTGTAAGGTTCTTTTATTCTTTAATGGATCTGCTTACAATGTAATGAATTAGAAAGATTATTCTATATATTTTTTAACAACTATATAAATTATTGCATTATGTTTCCTTAGAGATTCCTATTAATTGTATGTAAGTATGCTTTTGCTTGTAGAGACCAAAAATCTGTTTCGTTTTTAAGAATTAAAAGCAATGAATTATTTTGTAGAATGTTATACAAGTTTGCTAATATATCCTGTGTAACCTGCTCTAGTCTAACATCTTTTGATCAAAAAAAAAAAAAAAATGAATTGCATAAGCTTATGTGGTGCTACTTTGTGTTATGTTATATTAAAATTAGTTTGTATATTGCTTAAAGTAACACATATTAACTGTCAATAGTTTAATTTTTAACAGATAGTCTAGAAATTCATTACAAATTAACTTGGAGACAAAATGCGACCGAATTTGTTCCCTTAGTGATGACCATACAATACTTCAAATTATAAAAACAAAAATGTAATTCAAAAAAAAATTCATAATGAATAATTCACTTTAAATAATTTTTCTTGAATAATAAAAACGCTTTGAATAATTTTTGAAATCTTTTTTCTTCTGGTATTTATTTATTTTCAGGAGTCTTTTATCATAGTACGTATGTTTGGTACAATGTTAAATAGATTAAGTATATGTTACCGCAATAATAGAATGATGATTTTTAACAGCACACTTGAAACATATAAATAATTTTATTTTGATATGAGTGTTTTATTGCATGCTCTATTTTCCATGACTCTAATAATTACAAAATTGGGCTATTGTTGGTAATAACTGGTTCTGTTAGTGTTATAATGGAACTTTTAAAAACAGCTGTAAGTTTAATTTATAGATTTTGTAAGTGAACTTCATATTGTTATGTATTTGAATTCTTTAATTAGGTTCAAGGTTTGGGACCCAAATTCATCCTACATCTTGAATTACAGAATACTTCAAGGAATAAACCATCCATAAATCTGTTTTTGACTTTCCACTGTGATGCACGTATTTACAAAATTCAAAAAACATTTATTCCGGTATGTAAAACACTCACAGTATAATTTCATAGTGTTAATTATGGACTGAATTTTCTTTTATAAGTTCTTTTTATCCTTTTTATAGAATTTTAAAAAATATATTTGACCATACAATGAGTCTCTAAAATAACATTATTTATTTACTCGATAAAACTCTAAATATATGATGAGAAATTTACACTGGAGAACAATCCTTTATCTTGCCTAATTGGGGTGTGAGGATTTTAAATCTGAAATTAGTTCTGCTCCTAAAGCTACAAATATTTTTTTAAATATTTTTCGTCTATTTTTGACAAAATGTACAAGTTTCAAAACGTTGTTGCATAAATATTATGACAAACTCTTAAGGGAGTTAGTGAACATCATCAGGATTAAATGTCGTCGAACACAGCTGGGGGGGGGGTGCTTCCATATTATGACCTGTTCAGAAACACACAAAGAAACAGTTCATAATGAAAAACGTAGCTATCGGCATTTGACAAAATGTCCAGGCATGGGTTTCTATGCACTTTAAATCCTGATGATGCACCCTAACTTATCTAAAAGTTTAAGCAATCCTCTGTTATATTTATAACGTTTTTAAACTTGTACAATACAACAAAAAATAAACTAAAAATTTAATTAAAAAAAACTTTGAGAGAGAAACAGATTGCATATTTAAAATCAAAATATTCACAATCCATGCAACAGAAAACAAGAAAAAATTAGTTCTCCAGTGTTGTTATTCATAAAGTACCCTTACAAAGGGGTTTTAATATCAACATCCAACATTGCTGCTGAATTACTTTTTTAAACAAATCTATATAATAGGTTGATCCCAAATGATTAAAAAAAAATAGAAATTTATATTGGAGAAAAGGGATTAGATTCTATATCAAAGTGTTTAGTATCAAGAAATGCTACAGTGTGATATTAAACACAATTATCCCTTTAAGCATGGATATCAGAATTTATGAACAAATTGTATTTAATTAACACAAAACTTGTGGATTTGAGTTAAATTCACATTTTGAATTGCAGCTGTAGTTCTTTAACTCTTCGACATTTTGCATAACTTTTACTAAAATTTTAAGTCCTTAAAATTTTATGTAAATTTCGAAGAAAGCATTAGTTGGTAATATTTAAGTTAGTGGCAAATTCTGGATTGTTTTGTACAAATCATCATAAAAAATGTGTCCAAATTTTGTCTTGAAATTAAATTAGATGTCTGCACTAACTTATGGTAGACATGAAGGTGATGTATCAATAATTCAATAAGTGCCTACGATTTCAAACTAAATTGCCATAAGCTGCATGCATATAAAAATAATTGTTTTTAAATTATTGAAATTACTTTCTGAAATTTGCATCGATCCTTTTATATTTTCATCTGAGACTTCATGTTTGTAGGCAGTGATTTCGAATGTGTTCAATTATATATGCAGTGAACAAAAAAATAAACGGACTTTATTGAGTCCTAGAATGTGATCAGATCTTCACATTTTAGGACTCAATAACGGTTCAAGGAGCTGACCTCAAACTTGCTATATAATTAGTGCAGACTAAAAAGTTGTAGTTTTAAAATTCAATTTTACAGGAATTATTTGATCAATTTCACTCAAATTTTGCCGTTTAAAATTTCATTCTTTAAAAGTGATGTAAAAATTTATATGCCTTAAAATTCAAAATTAGTTTGATTATTACTAAATAAAATAATTAAAAAACATCTATATTAAAAGTTATTTTTGTATGCAATTACTTTTGTATAAACAAATTTTTTAATTGTATGTAAAAATTATTCAATTCATTGGAAAAGTTCTCGAGATATGACGAAATACGCACAAAGTAAAATTAACATTAAGGTTTTATACCACTCTCCTGTCCAAACTTTTAGGACCATATTACCCTTTTGGAGTATTAAGATTGAATCCTAATACATGAAGATCCGATCATTAGATCATAAGTTATTTAAAGTGGTTTATTTTTTATTTTGCGCACTGTACATAGATACAAAAATTTTTTTACAATTGTTGACATTCTCTTACAATTTTAATATTGATCTCAATAACTTTTACAATTTGTTTTTTAGATATCCTTTTTAGCTCCTGGCTTACCTTATACTTTTATGACACCTGTTGAATGTGTTAGTGAAATGAATATATCTGACATCATTAAAGTAAGAACAACATTATTTTATTCATATTGTTTGAGTTTTAAATGAAAAATATCTGATGTTATGCATATTTTATCTTCATGCATTTTTAATAAAAGTTTTAATCTTTTAACTTTCAAATAATGTAAGCAGGTATACCTTTGTTGAACAATGTTTCTTCTCTAATTAACTTAGAGGACACAGATTTATTTTATGTGAAAGCAACCATGTTCTATTTAAAAAGTTTGGAATAGATAATTAAAAGATCAGGAGAAGGGCTTTTCTTGCAAATTATATTCTAAATATGTTCTTATTGCTCTTTATTTCGAACTATATTCAGGGATGAAAGTACCAGTTAGTAAAAAAAGGTGAATTCTACATAAACGCAATCAAACATTATGAAATTAATAAATGTATGGAGCTTAAAAAGCTTTGAAAAAAGCTGAATTCAGAGTAAAAGCTGAAAACTTTCATGCCTGTATATTATTGATAATATTAGTTTTTCATATTACTTATTGGTTGCCAACTTACATATGATATTTACAGTTATGTATTTCTATGCTATTGACTTTTCTATCCTTTTAAGATACTGTAAAATTGTACTGTAATTTCAATTTTTATTTATGTTTTTGAATTTAGATCATTCAGTTTTTTTCCTCTTTTTTAGGTGTTTGTTTTAAAACAAGGTCAGAATATTCCTATTATAACAGCAATGATAAATATGCCAGTCAGCGAAGGGTTTCAACCTATTTAATTATCAAAATAAAATTCTGCACAACACATTTTTAAAATGCATGCTTTTATGAAGCATTTTGGTTTGACGTACAAATCTTTTGAGAGTTGCAAATACTGAAAACTGTTTAATTATATAATAATGTGTAGTTTTTAGAAAAGTAATGGGGCAGATTTATTTCCATGTGAATTTTGTATACTTTTTAATCGACTGGCGGTTTGGCAAACCAGCAAAATTAGGAGAATGTTTTTCCACAAAAAACTAATAACATGGCAAAACCGTTTTGCTATGCGAAGAAGACTGCAGGTTAAAAAAATGACTTTTTATGTGCAGAACCGTTAGTGGGTTAATCTTTATTTATCTATTTTTTATAGCTAGTCATTTTTAACTATGTTTGCTATTTTTACTTATTTGAATTTTTTTAGCTTATTACAGAAATAGATCTGCAACGTAAAATGTTTTATTTAAGAACGGCTACTTCTTTAAAAAATGTTTTGTTAAAGTGTTTTAGAAAGATGTCTGTCAGGCAAGTTATTCAATCTTTTCAAATATTTCCCAATTTAATTTCAACACAACAAAAAGAAAGAAGTTATAATATACAAAGAAATACACTGGAATGTAACATTGTATATAACTTTAACTTAATAACTTTTTATTGTAATAAGTTTTTGAAAAGTACCTTCCTCTACAGTTTTGTAAATGTTCCTTTTCTCATATTTTACAATGTTTTCGATCATTTCTTTTATTTATGCTGGTGCCTTAGATTTAATATCATGTAAAGTATCCATTATAAGGTCTAATGTTGGGTGAAAATAATCAATTATTTTTAACATTACATTAAAATGTGATATATAAAATAGTGTGAAATTATAAAAACTGTGATATTGTACTGTGTATATATAAAAAAATCAGATTTCAACATACTACGACTCAATCTTACCGAATTGAGGGGTGACCTCAAATATGCTCATTAGTTAGTGCTGATGACATGTGAAACGTACTTCCTCCGAATAAACATACCTTTTTTGATGGATTTGGTTCTCTAAGTTCTAAAACATAGCGAGTAACTGCAATCTGAGAAATATGGTCTTGATAATTAGATGAGGAGTGCGATTTATAGTTTGGACCCCTTATTCTTAATTTTACTTCTTGTGTATTTCGCCATATTTAGAAAACTTATGAAGCGAATTGAGAAAAATTTATACACAAATATAAAATTCATTTATCCAAAGATAATTCCATGCAAAAAATTTGGATACTTTACAATTTAAAATGATATTGACTATTATTAAATAATAAAAAACAGTAAATAATTAATAAAAATTATTTTTTACATGGAATTATCTTTATATAAACATATGTTATATTTGTGTCTAAAATTTTTCAATTCGCTTAAAAGGTTTGAGATATGAAGAAATATGTTAGAAGTAAAAGGGCTCCACACTTTCTATTGCTCTCCTGACCAAAGTATCGGGACCATATTTCCCAGATTGAGTCTACTCCCTATATTTTGATGGTCAGGAGTCTATGTCCATCAGAAAACGGCATTTAATTAAGGAAAAAGTACGTTTTGTGTCTGAATTTGTAACCTCAAATATCATCTTCACTAACTAATGACTATGTATGTCATCCTCTCAAACCATGAAGATTGAGTCCTAGCAAGTGAAAAATCTGATTATAAAATCAAAAGTGATCTGATTATTAGATCAGAATTCTTTTTTTTGCGCATTATACACCATCTTGCATAAATAAATACCTTTTAATGGTATAATATTAGAAAAAAATTTAAAAATCATTTTTGTAATGTACATCTCACACAGATATTTCATTAAATATTCACTAACAAGATAAAAATTTGTGATAGAAAATTTTAAATGAATACAAATAGATGTGCAAGTAATTTATTGAAAATAAATATTTTTCACAAGCAATGTTGTACATTGTGTTTGCATTGAATTTTTATTTTAATTATTTATGTATGGGAAAATACAATTTTGATAAGAATTATTTAATCTTTATTTTTGGCCAATATAATATGGCATAGAAGCGTTAATTTCTAAAATGACTAGATTTAGTTTAATACAAATATTAAAAGAGCAAAAGCATTAAAGAGTAAAATATCAAAGAAAAGTGCATTTCTTTAATTACTTACTCTGTTCATTTTAAAAAGAAAAATATTACAAGTTTTCATACAAGAAAATAATAAATAAATCCTTAAAGCATCTTAAAAACATAACTTAAAATATATTGTGAGCAGAAAAAGGGAACACATAGTAACTGTATATACACATATAGATACACTGAAAAATGATTGACATCCAAACTTTATAAGCTTTCATAAACTTTGTTGTAAACAGACAAACATGAAATTTGTCAAATTAAATTGTGCAAAAATATGTAAATTAAGCAAGACTCATACATAAAAGTTTCACATTTAATGTAAAAAAGCTGTAAAATAAAATAATCATTAAGATAAATTTATTATTAATAAAATTCAAATACATTGATATAGTTTATCTATCTCAAGACTCATGAAATGTTTCCACGAAATTATAATAATTGAAAAATACAGTTCTCTACACATTTTATTTAAAATGTGAATTGACGCTAAAATTTGCTTCTTTCATTTTTAAAGATTAATCAAGAACAATAGATGTTCACCAACATTATTTGATATTTAACCAATTTTTAAGAAGTCTTCAAAGTGTATATTAAAATATTAATTAATTATTTGCAATCCTTAAACGTGTAGAGTATTAATAAAATTTCCATAATAATTTCAATAACTAAATCTCTAATTTCTCTTATTTATAATTTTAATTGCTACCAGACGCACTTAATTAAAATCAGTAAATGCCTTATAATTTTAAAACATTATTTTCTTAAGAATTTTAACTAATAATGTAATTATGACATAAAAATCAGAACACAGACAATATTTTTAGTACAGCACAGAACGAATAATCCCAAAAAATTGCACATAAAATATCACATATAAAGTTTAAAATAAATAACATTTGCATAAATTATTTGTAAATGTAATATTATTGTAAATAAAACTTATAACAAATTTCATCTAAATTGCTTACTAATAATTTATATATAAAAAAATACTTTATCCTCAAAAAGAAAGAGGCATTGAAATAATAAAAAATTGACTGAAAAAAATTAATAAGATACAATTTATGAAGAACTATAGTAGAATCTATGAAATTTAATAAATTAAAACATATTACTTAACTATAATTCCAAATATACCATTATTATGTAAGGTATATCAAAAACATTACTGAAATATTTTAGTATCAGGAACTTAAAATTAATCTACAATAATAACTACATTTTCATAAAAATAAATGCAGCAGATAACACTTTTAAACAAAATTATATTCATTGTGAATTTTAAAAAAACAAACTAATTTCTAGATAACATAGATCTTGCAAACTCAAAAACAAAACAATTGCATCTAGGAATTGTCTGTAAAATTAGGATAAAGGAAGAAGAATTTAATTCAAGGGTTTTCCTTAATTCCTTTAAGGATTTTTTAATTAATATGTTTAAAAACGTTCTTGCAGTAATGAACATTTTTGAAAATTTGCATTTTACCGCATATTATTTTTAAAATCAAGCCTGGTTGAACTTAAACCGCTTTTTTTAAGTAACAACATAATTCCTTTCATGGTTTAGTAATGATATTTATGCTGAAAATAAATGCAACTATACTATGTAATTGATTTCCTTTTGATAATTCAAATAATACTACATGTAAGGCTAAAAAGATATTATATATCTTACTATAATTTTATAACTATAAAGAGATAAATCATGCCCTTACTTATTATTATTATTTACTTATGTGTTAGGAAATTACACTTCCCACACTCGAAAATAATAAAAAAATTTCCGTCAAAATGCATAGTGAAGTTCAGTGTCTGTTATTGACATTTCATACAAACACCACTACATAGCTTACAATGCATTATTAAAACTACATTACACCAAGAGCTTCCCACATAAGCATGTTAAGCTTCAAGCAATACATCAATCTATAACATTCAGAATTTTAAATAATGACCTGTATTTTTATTAAATAACATAAACTTAACTTCATATTAACTTAAAATTCAAACATACGAAATGAAATTAAAATTTTGTTAGAATTTTTTTAATAAGTGTGCTCATATTTACTGTACAGTTTGCTTACACATACCACAGTTTCCTTAGCTTAAAGACAAATATCACAAGTTTATAAATTTTTATTTGAAAAATTAAAATTTTTCACTTATTTTTTTTTAAATATTTAGTTGCCAAGCATAATTCAAAAAATGGATAAAATAATAATCACCTTAAGTATACTTAATAGTATTTAATACTGTTGTTCAAACTTATAAGAAAAATAAAAGAACTTTAAAAACAAGATGATAAAAATAACAACTCTAACACAAAATTCTTATAATAACAATTATGATGCTATTTAAATATAACACGAAATTCTTATAATAACAATTATGATGCTATTTAAATAAATGTAAGAAAAAATTGAGTTTAAAAGCAAAATTTTAATTTATAATACAGTAGGGAAGCGATTATCCGGAACGATCGGAACTACCGCTATTCCGGATAACTGATTTTTCCGGTTTTCTGAATCGCTACAAAAAGCCGTTTTTTTATTGTGAAACCCAACTAAAAAAAAAAAATTTGGAAATAATCTTAAAAAGAAGAAAAAACGATGAAGTAATACACTAATGATTATTTCCAAAATGATGGGAAGGTAAACATCTTTCAAAAAAGAAAGAAAAATCTTATGAGGGAAAAAAATTTTTTTTTTTTAAATGGCGGAAAAATTTATCGAATTTCGTTCAGGTTTTTTGATTTTCCGGTTTTCTGATTTCCGGATAACGGGTTCTGTACTGTAATTTGCATTCTTGTCGATATTCAAGAGGAAATTGAGTAATAAAATTTAATTTGAAGTTTGAGAATTGTTGATACTTGCAGCAGTGCTAGGAAACTGTATGGTATTAACACTTAGTAAACATACCTCAATGACATGCACTTCAGTAGTCATAGACATAATTCTGTTAAAGTAATTTTAAAAGTTTAAAATTATACAAAAAAATTATGTAAAAAACGTTAATTTTAATAACAAAATTAATAGATTTTAAGTCCTGATTAATTGAGACACAAGTTTATGATAAGTTATAGTAATTATATTCTGTAATTACAATTTATAAAATATTTAAATACCTAAACCCTTCTTGAAAGGAAGGTTGTAAAACTTTAAAAAAAATTTATATAATACATTTTCACTAACATTCATTTAAATATTGTCAGGGAAGATTTCCATAGCAAAAACATTTTCTTCATAGATTATTCAAACATCGCAACTTCACAAAGAATATATAACTGAGCATTGAAAACTGTACATGAAAATTGAAATTATTTAAGATAGATGCATAACAATTTCATATCTTAGATTCTTATTATATTTAAAATATTTGCACGTAAGGAGAAGAGAAATTTTTGATTATTAATATATTTGTACACTTTCAATGGAACATATTTTTCCAACAAGCAAAAGTAAAATTTAATAAATTGCACTAGTGATACATGCCAAAATAGGCAAATAGTCTTAAAATTGTAAATAAATACTTATAAATAAGCTTTAACAGAGCATCAAAAACAAATAACAAAATACAGAAGCACATTCAAAATAAACTATGACTATGCTTCACAAAATAAGCAACTTAATAACAATAGACTAAAATAAAAGCTTGCGAGGAAATTCAACAACTGTCAGCAACATCACTTATATTCAAACTCTGTATCAAATCTTCCAGAGAGTTTTTATGTAGGACAAAAGACTGAAATAAATATATAATTAAAAAACATTACAACATATTTTGTAACAAAACATATTTTGTTTTAATAAAAATTTGCAGCTTTAAAGATTATCTACATATTTTATTATTACTTCAAGAACGTGGAGATTTTCATGTACATAAATATCAATAGGATTGGCAGATGCTGGTGTTGATGTAAATTTAGATTTGTAAGTTTTCAGTAAAATTCTTTTTATCAATTATTATAATTTTATATTATAATTTTATTTTATAAAATTATATATTGCTATTTAAATTAGTGATTTGATTAAATTTATGATTCAGTGATTTTATTTGAGTATTGGCAACGTAATGAGTGTTTTATTTGGAGATACAAATTAAAAATCTGAAATTTTACTAGTTGTAACAAAACAATTATGTATCAACAATGTAACTGTTAAAATATATTGCCCCAAAAGAAAAACGTGAAACATTTCCAATATTCTTTTTATGTAATTTTTTTCCCCTTCATCTTTAAAGCACCACAAATCTTAGCAATACTTTATCACAGCATTATTAAATAACGAACAAGTATGTTTGAAGATTTTAATTGTTTAGGTACAATCTGTTTTTTTAATTTATATTTAAAAAAATTTCTAGTGAATAAATTCATATCTTTCTTGTAAGTCACTTTAACCAGTTCGAAAAACTCTTACTTTATCCTATACCTAAAACTAAACTCAGTGGCACGACAGCCCATAGAGGGCCAAGGCTTACCGTTCCCATCTCAGTTTTCTTGACCTTTGGGATCTGAGGTGCAAGAGCAGATGTTCCGGTTAAGTGGTCAGCCCAAGCATGCTTGGTACTAATTTTATCAACCCATCGAAGGGATGAAAGGCTGAGTCTACCTTGCCCGGCCCAAGGATCGAACCAGGGATCGGTGGCATGACAGTGCTAAGCGCTGCCGCTCAGCCACCGGGAGTCTAATCCTATACCAATTTAAGAATTAAGATTATCACTCAACCTGAGACAATCAAAAGGATTTATAAAAGCAGGCTACAATTCAAATAAAGTTAAATTGCATCGCTTGGAAAAACTACAATTAACTTCACTTACAAAGCTATTAGAAAAACTTATGATAATGATTCCGTGCTTGATTTCAAAACCTTTTCAATTTCATAATTTATACTTTTATTTAAAAAAAATTTTTTAAACTTTATCATTTAAACATTTTCTATTCCCTATTTCAAACAATTGCTTTTATCCTACTTAAGAAAATGTTTTGTATAATAAAATCATTTTATATTTAGCCTTCAATTAAAATAGTTAAATTTCAGTTCTTTTCGAATACTCATTCAGAATTGTAAAATAAAACCTAAATCAGTAACAATGTGTTTTTTTAACACTATGTAATAAATAAATATAAAATAAACCTGGCACTTTAGAATGCATTATTATTTTGAATATTATGCATTATCATTTGGTTTGGAAATATTGGTAACAAATTAATTAGAAGTACCTCTCAGAATATAATCAGTCAGTAGAGTGGGAACAGTTGGGCTATCTTCATTGATTGCTTGTAAAACTATCAGAATATACAAAAAATTATAATTCAGTTTACAAAAATAAAAATGCAAGATGATATGGCACTTTAAAAGTATATTTTTTATAATGAAACAAATTATCAAATAAAAATATAAGTATGTACCATTATTTTTTCTAATTACTCATATTTTTAATAAATATTAATAAGCAATACACCAAAAAATATTTTACCTAATTCACAGTCTTAATAGCTTTTGAATTCTAAAATTTTATATATGTTTACATGGAAAAAAAATCACTTTTTTTATATGAATACTACAGTCTAATCATAAATCATTTAATCAGACATCATAAGACAAAAAAAGACATTAATAAATGCATGTAATAATCATAGATTTTTATAATTTCTCTTTGTATAACTTTAAAAAATGTTACAGTCTTTTATTCATTTATTAGTAGTCAGTACACAAAAGAATATTTATTATCTTTTTAGAAACGTTGTTACCTAATTTCTTGAAGAATAAGACAAGTTTTCTTAATTATTGCTTATTTATAATAATGGTTTAAATCAGGAGTGCACAACCTATGCTACATTGGCCTAAAGTAGCCCCTAGAGCTTTTTAATTTGGTCCCTGAATTGTCATATAATAAAAGAAAAAGAGTTACAGAAAGTTACGGATCTAATTTACAGCTTTTTCCCAAAATATCATACTGTGATTATTTCAGTTTCATTATAAAAGTTCTATTAATGCAATAGGTTCAGAGTTTGCAGTAAAATGTAATTACATATAAATTTGTAAATAAACTTTAATAAGAAGAAAAAGAAATTAAACAAGTAGGCATGATGAACAAAAAAATTTTTTCTTCAAAATTATAACATCATTTATCACACTAGTCATTTATCACATTAGTCACATTAATTTGACACTGTATTAGCAAAAAAAATTTTTTTCTGAATAATAGTGAAAGTTAACTTTAAGTGTCTTTTTTTGTTGTATGCCAATGCTCATATAAATGTACCATAATTTGCTTTTGTAATCTAATAAGAATAATTGTTTAAATTTATACACATTAACTATTTATATTATCTGCACAGGAGCATAAAATTAATTATAGACTTGTAGCTTATTCACATTACTTTCAAAGAGAATCCAAATATTCCTAGCAGATTTATAATTACCACATTATGTTAATGTTGGCCTCCATCTTTACATTTTGTAGTTTCTGTGACCCACTACAAAAAAAAAAAGGATTCGCTTCCCTGATTTAAATCCTGGATATGTTAATAATCGGGTTCCATATACTAATAACTGAATTATAACCATTAAACTTTTTTACATTGGACAACTTAAACTGTAAACAACTTTTCTCTAATTTTAAGCTACAATGTACAAAAAAAAAACCAAAAAAAAAAAACTTTTAAGAACATACGATTTTTTAACTAAAAGCACAAGAGCACATAAAATCTCTGTGATTGTACAAAATTCTTTTAAGAGCACATACATTTTTTCATTAAACATACTTACTTTTTATCAAAATTTCTAGAGTTAGGTTATCTGGTGTCCCATGTTGAGGGTCATAAGGAATAACAGTGCTAAGATACTAAAAGAAAAAAAGTCAAACCACTTTTAGAGTATAAAATATCTAGGTTTCACAATAAAGGTTTTGAACTAGCAATATAATAAGCAGTTGTTCAGTTTACTAAGTGAAAAATTTTCTGAACACATCAGTTTGGTCAGACAAATCACACAATTTTCAAGTCTAGCCAATTGATATATTTTTAAAATGAATAAACAAACTATATTTAAATACAGATTGGGTATTGTCATTTTTAAGATAAAAAATTTGCGTAGACTTCCAGAAGTGAAAGTAACTTTTAACTGACATTTCTTTGAATTATGCACTGTCTCTATACACAACATAGGACTGAATATAGAGAATTCAGAGATTGACAGAAATTTTCCAATTAACAATTCCATTTTAAATTATATGTTAACTCCTAGTTTCATATAAATGCTGTAAAAATATTTTTGTTTTGATTTACATGTTATTTAAATTTGCATAAATTTATTTTTAAAATTTATATTTCTACACAGACTATAATTTTGTAAAACAAAAAAATTAAAAGACCAGAAGCATTTTTTTTTTCATTTGCTCTACATATTTCACATAAATAATATGCAATATATCAATAAGTGAATAAGTAAGCATATAAACTATACCTACATATGAATTTGCTTTGGTTAACATAATAAAATAATTAAAACTTAAATAATTAGGTTTCAGATAAGACATGTATAAATGAATGTTTGATTATAAACATTTTATCGAAAAAATATTTAATGTTTAATTTTTTTAGTACCAGGGAGAAAATTTATTTATTTATAAAGCTTAATGGTGAAAAATGTAAATTACTTTATTACTAATGTAAATTACTTTACTTAATTAATTTTAATACTAATAAATAAAAATGGAAAAATAAATTATTGCAAGAGAATTCTTAAAAGCATAAAAAAATTTTTTTTTTAAATATTCAAGCTAGCACTCTTACTTTGGGTTCTGTACCAATTATCGAACCATTTTTAATTATTTTCTTTTTATCCAAAGAGTATTGGCGTCGTTTGTTCTGGATACTAAGGACTAATGAAATAAAATTATTTTTTAACTCCTTTTCAAACTCCAATTCATCTCTCAAAGCCAGTTCATGAATTAAAGTTTCAGAATGGTCTTTAATCAATTTCTCAATCTCCCACAGTAGATTCTGAAGTTGTATCAGATTGAATTTTTTCACTTCTAGAATAAATATAATAAAAAATTAAAACCACTAGACAGAGAAGAAAAAACAAAAAAATACATAATACCCAAATTTATGAGATCATGTCAATATTTTTGAAAATAAGATTACATTAATTGCACTTTTTTCAATATCTCTTTTAAAATTACTGAATATAATAAATAGATTAAGACTAGTGGAATCTGAGCATAAAATAATGCTTATTCAGATGACAAAATATTATTTGGGAACAAACAGCAATAATTTTAACAGAAAATAGAATGAATAATAATAGAAATTTATAAAAATATATTTATAGGAATTTGTAGAAAATATTTTTTGCTTTTACTGTGGTAAGTGTGAGCTGGTAGCAGAATGTGCATTTACCAACTATATCCTAGATTCGAACCTCAATCGTCTCTTCAAGTGATGAGTGTTATATTCCCTGAATTATTTTGGCTTTTAACAGTATTAAATAGTATTTGGTTTTGAAACTAAATTTAGAAACAAATTTAACTACTAGGCTTATTCAAACCTATGAGACTCACTAACCCATTATATTTAATATCTTTTGTTAAATATTTACCGAATGTTTGAAATTCTGAGGACTGTGAGAAATCACAGAGTTTTCTCCAACAAAGAGCCTTATTTTTGCTACTCTTCAGAATACTTAAAGTCTGCTATTGCGCAGAATACTAATAGACAGAAATAAGCTGTATAAAACTACAAAATAATGCTAATGATACTTCTATCCTATATAGTGGCTAAAAGTAAAATATTTTTCAAATGCATTATATTTTGCAGTTTATTTATTTGATTTAATGATGGACATTTCTTAATTTTTATTTCTCCACCATAGTAAATATTATAGAAAACTATAGCAGTTTCAGACCAACAGACCTACTTTTTTACAAAAGCCGATATTTAACGTTGTAATTTTAAAATTATAATTTAGTAAAATTTTATTTTTTAACTTAAGTTGATTTTAGACTATGAATTGACAATAATTGTAAATAACTGATTTTAAATAGAAAATTAAAGTTATTGCTTTATTAGAAAATACATTGAAAAAAGACAAGACATTATTGGCATGCAACAAAACTGTTTCTTTTTAGAATAACAATGTTAAAATCCTCACATTACAAAATTATAAGTGCGCCTAAGCTTTTTTTTTCTTAGACGAATAAGTTAGTAAAGAAAATATGTTTAATCAACAGCAAAAATACAATAAGCCACCATTTTAGTACACTTGCAATTATTTTCATATGTTATATACATGCTAAAAACATGCACAAATCATTTATTTTCAAACACACTCATAGCCACTAGAATACAATTTTCTGAATTAATGCAGATAATTCAGAAAAAACTAAAGCTGGTTTACAATTCAAGAGCAAGATAAAAGGCTGAATATGAATGAGATATGATAGGCAGTGCATAGCTTATAGTTATCATTCAGATTACAAGATGCAACATATCTTATTGTTATGTCAAAAACTCATCTATAATAACACATTTTCAAAAATATGTATGGAACAATTAACTAAGATATTTTTAGCTCTGTAAAATCTATTAAAAACTTTTTTCTCTTCCCACTGAAACTATCATTTTTGTACTTCACTTCAATTCAGTTGCCTAAGAAATAATTCTCTTTTATGAGACATGCCTACATCAACTTTTAGCCAGAGATTTTCCACAATTATTTAAATTTACATTGTAATATTGAAATTATTTTGACTTCCAAAGCACTTAAATAGTTCAAACATACATACAAAGTCCTGAGAAGCATGTTGTGAGGTTTTTAAGTTAAGTGGAAAAGATTTAAAAACATTCCCCATTTTAATTTTTATTCCACAAATACTGCAAATATTCGAAAGAGTAAAAAATGGTAGTTTAGGTTTGGCAGGTCTGCTTTTTTACATAAGCTGATGTTTAATGTTTTAAATTTTCTTTGAAAATAATAAAACAATATGTAAAAATAAAATAAACAATAATAATTTGTTATAAATTTCTTATATCTATTAATTTAGCCCACATGAACAGATAATTGGTATAACATTTAATACAATTCAAATTTTGCAACTTAAATTAATACATACCATCTTTGTACATTCCAACATACATTGAGACTTTACTTTTCATATCATCAGGAGATTTATCTAGAGGTTCAGAAGAGTTGAGTGATGGTGACCTTTGTTGCTAAAATTCAGAAAGTGAATTCAATAGAGTTAATATTGATTTAAAGGGTAATAAGACAGAAATAAATAATAAGATTAAACATAGTCTGAATTCAAATTATTAAAAAAGATACAATATTTCCTACCCCAATTAAGTCATTATCAAAATTTTTACATGAAGTCTCGAGAATAATATATTGAACTATCGTAGGGCTTTATGAAATTAAGACTTCCATATCAGATTAAAACAAGCGTATCCTAAAATAACATTAACATAGTTAATAAAAGAAAATTTCAAAACAAAATAATATTTTTTTAAATTATTATTTCAGAATTATTTTTTATTGTTTTTAGGTCATGATTTTTTTTAAAAAAAATAAGTAAAACAGCTGAATATACTCTGCTGAAATGAAGAAGTATCGACATTTCTGACATTAATAACTCTTATTTTCAAAAATTAATTGAGAATTTAAAATAAAAGTGAAATTATGATAAGTTTTATCAAAAATGAAATAAATGTCTTTAAAGAATTTTCTTCTTTCCGAAATTTTCTACATTTAAAATCATAATAAAAAATTACATTAAAATAAATTTTCTACATTTAAAATCATCTACATTTCTACATAAAAAAAATTTTCTGCAGACATTCTGTGCACAATATGCAAGTCTACATTTTATAGGCTAGTATATGTGTATAACAAAAATGGTGATGAAATATATTCAATTATTTCCTTAAAGTATGCATACTGTATCATAATAGACAACGCTATAAATAAAACTTCCACACAAAATTTAATTTACAAAATATTGTTTTAACAAGGTTAATATGTTAAAAATATTTACTCTAAATCACAGTTTAAAATTGTCTTAAATTTATACAAATTTTAAAAACACAACGTACTTGAATCATTTCTTCAATCTCTTCTAATACTTGTTCAGCTGTAAATAGAGGCTCTTGTTGTAAATTTTTTATTAAAAATGCCCGCATTTCCATATCTTTAGGAGATTCATCATTTTTAGATTCGCTGTCCTGAGAAAAAAATAACAATAGTTAAAAAAAATCAGATCAATGAGCAATACACTATTATATGTCAAAAAAGAACACGATTAAATAATATGCTGTACAATCTCAAAAAATCATATGATGTACAAAAAAAGATTTAAAAAAAAAAATACTGTTTCTAATTTTTCATTTTATTAGCTTTCATTGTCATTTAGCTTCCACTTTTAAAATTGCTACATTTTTCTCACATATAGCTAAAAGATTTTATCTGCACTTAACACGCTTGCAAGTAGTAACATGATGACTGTAACATGATGAAATATTTAAAGAACATAAAAGATCGTGTTGTTTTAAAGAAAAAAAAAATTTTCAAATTATTTTTAAAAAAATAAGTTGCTTTGCTTGCTTCAATATTCAAGAACAAAAGTGTAGTGATAAAATAACTAAATATTAACTTTTAAAACTAAAAGTGATAATTTTTCTAAAATCATATGGTTGTAATTTAAAGCTAATTAACAGATTCAGGTTACACTAGCATTTATTATAAGAGATCTGAGGTAAAAATTTGCAGCATGTTTTTTAATATATAGTATTTTATTGAAAAGAGCTCTTTTTCAATTTTAAGGAAAATACATAAACATTTAAATGTTAAATTATGAAAGACTATAACCATAATTTTTTTTTATATTAAAGATAAATTATTTCTTATAATACATTCAAACATTTTGAGCTGTTAGTAAACTTACTGTATTATGATTTAGATTGATAAAAGAATGTTGCATCCCTTTGGCACAGGACTTTGTCCAATCTATAGGCAAAATACTCCCAAAATTTCCAGTTAGAGTCCACCATATTCTGAAAATAAATTAATGAGAATTATAAAAATTGAAGCAAGTGTGCATGCCAAGATAATTATCCAGTAGTTCTTCCATAATCCAAATTGAGTCAAATTCACAGATGTGACTTCAATAAACTTCTAAGGAAGGTATGCACACATAGCTATGAAACAATTCTACATATATATAATAACGATCATTATATTTTTAATTAATTTAACTACAATAAATCACTAATTTAATTTCACCTTTATTTAATGATTATTCAAATTGTTAAAATATGATTTTTAGAAAATTAGCAAGTTCAAAATGTTATTGTTTTTTTCTAAAAGAAAGCAGGTTCTAGTTCTAAGAGATATTACGCAGATAAAAATTTATAGCTATGTTATTTTTTAATATTTTAGTTTAATTTTCGACATTCTAAAATGCACATTTTAACCAAATGGTCAGAAATATATTAACTAGGAATCATGTGATTTTCCTTTTGAAAATTATTTCATTTCAAAGAACAACTTGTAAGGCAAAAGTTCAGTTCTACTTCTAATAATAAAATAAAAAAATTGCATGTATGTGTTTGTGCTATTGTAGCAAAACAGAACCACAATATATGACATTTAAAACGTCAGTGAATACTTATCCGTAAGTACGTAACTATGAGCCTGATCTTTCAATTTTTGATTAGAATTTGTTTAATCTGTCACTTTCAGTTATATATTATTTTAATGCTAAAAGGTAAATAACTTAAGGTTTTTTGGGGCAATATATCATTTTAAAGCAAATTCAGGAGTAGGTAAATAATATGGTCTGTCTCTGATTTGGCCAGAAACTTATTTTAGCATTTATGACTGTTCAAATTAATATTTTTTTTAAATATAATATATGACTTTTTTTTTTCTTTTGAAGATGTATTTTCAATGTGCTCTTGGTGTTTTATTCCATTCTGTGATTTTAATAATTCTTTCAGTTTCTACCACACAATAAACTAAACTTAAAGATTATCTTGGCACATGTACTGATAAAGATATCTTTCTAACAAAATAAGTATCCTGATTTAGTATTAAGTAAATCACGATTCAAGATTGCATATTATTTTTACTACTTTAGATTTGAATTTTCAATATGCAATGCCATATTATTTTATCCCTTATAGTTAATGGATTCTTTTTATTTGGCCAAAAAATCCACAAACCTCATAACAGATTGAATATTTGAGATAAAACTTTTCAATTTTAGAACAAAAAGTGCTCATCGATTGAAGATCTGAAATGAACTATCATTTATTAATTAGTAAAGGATAGATATGAAAAATATTATAAAAAATTATGAATTTCACCTGAATAATTGTGGATTCTTTTCACATTTTAAAAGAAAATCACACGTTTCTTTACTTAAGCAGCTTATATATTACCACAAGTTTACTAAAAATACTCATACTTGGTCTTGGGTAAGTAAACTTCTCATATTTGTAGTAGTAAAAAAAACATAAATAAATAAAAAGTTACTTAACTTTGAAGCAATTCTTTCAATAAATATGCTTAACTATAACAGGTATTTAGCAAATAACTAAATAATAACTGATTAATAGAAGTAAACATTAGTAAAATAAAACATTTTTTTAAAATAAATAAAATATTTTATAAACATTTCTTGCAAATAAATTGAGGTATATGTTGAAATAAAAATCAACCTTTATGACTATGCATAGCCTTTTAAATAGTGCCAAAAAATTTATTACGATTACTTACTGGCATTCATTCATAACTTCATCTTGATTGCGCACTTGCACTGGAGCTAATTTTTCAACATTTTCTTCATAATTATGTAGACATTTTGTGATTTTATCATCAAATGTGTTCACCAAGTCTTCTAATGATGTAGAAAATGCATCACTAAAGCTGCTGTCCACAAATGAATTTTCATTCGCTTCAGGACTTGAAAACGAATCTTTATTTGAGTTTTCAAAATCTCCAGAGTAATCATTGAATTCAGCCCAGTCTTCAATCCTAGCTAGAGGAGCTTGAATTTTTAATTCTGACATTTTAAATTCAAACCATCTTTACAGTAACACCACAGAAAACGAAACTTTAGGAATTGTAAACAAGCACCGCACCTACAACGCTAATGCGCATGCTTAATTGCTTTCTGATTAACACCAACATTTTCATATAAAAACATGAATGCAAAATAAAAATAAATATCTATACTTCCCACAGCACATCTGAAGTACTACAAGTGATATGAATTTTTGAACATCAATAAGACTTTATGTTTAAATGATTATTTAACATTGAAATTCTTTATTGTATATATGAGAGACATTAAGTTACCATGGCAACTAGTATTTCTCAAACAAATCAATGGCCAGTACACAGCAAATTTAATATATGTAAGCTATAAACTTAAAATCGAAATAGTTGATCGCTGATTAGGAGGATAGTTAAGAGCTATTTTCACTGTAAAAGTTATTCACATTACATGCGAAAAATTTGAGTCTGCGAATTTGGTAAATTTGAACTTATGGGTTGTTGTTGTTGTAGTTCATTTACGTCACACCAGAGCTGCCCAATGGGCTATTAGCGATGGTCTGGGAAACATCCCTGAGGATGATCCTAAGACATGTCATCACAATTTTGATCCTCTGCAGAAGGAATGGCATCCCCGCTTCGGTAGCCCAACAACCTGCACGCGAAGTCGAGCACTTTACGGTAGAACAGTTTAACGAGGACCAATACCGCAAACCCTCGATCCCTACGCAGACTGATCCAAGTGGTCATCCATCCGCTTAAACTGATAGGGATATTCCCAGGAAAAACTGGCCAATAAGGAATTTTTTTGCATATCGTGAGAATGACTCTTAAGTTTGAATAATGTACATGCGTTCTGTTCTGCTTGTCGAATTCAGACACAACTCACCGGCAAGTGTTAAAAGTTCACTGTGTGCAATCAATAACGTAGGCGGTTTAGCGATGTGAATGAGAAACTGACTGACCAGTTAGATCCTCAAGGACGGTGATCAGAGTTGCGTGAACTGCGTGCAAGGAGAACTAACTTCCTCCGATTTCACTCCATGGGTGCGTGATTACTTAAGTCAGCACTTTTAAAAAGTGGGTATCTAGGAAAAGTTTCTTCGACCACAGCTTAAACCAGGGCTTGATTCTCCGGGCTGACAGTTGTGTTTTTGATAGTTTTGTATTCTTACCGATCGATAGTGACAATTCAGAATTTTCATTAATACACTATTATTGGTTTCCCATGCAAGGTCGAATGGTTGAAAAGCGTGGTACGAAGTATGGTAATCACGCCTACCTTTTCCCTACAATCTAAATTGTTGTAATGTACAGTAACTCGAAAAAATAGCTAAGCACCATGACCTCTTCAAAAAAAATTTGAAAACGATTTGAAACGACCTCAAGCCTCGATTCTCACTGCTCTGTCGTGACGCAGTATTTGCTTTTTTGAAATGTCTGACGCTCCCGATGAAAACACAAAGTCACCCATGCCCAATATTGGCCAGCAAAAATGACAAAAAAAAATCTGAGAGCCTCCGCAGAAGACATTTCAAACAAAACTCAAGCACCCAATGATGGCCTCGTGTACATTTTTAAAAAATGGGACGAGTCCCCAAATAGGGGGACTCGTCCCCCTAAATCGATTTGACTCTATGTCAAAATAAAACGGCTCCTCAGCGTGCGAGCCTTTTTATAGACAGACAGAGGGTGCTCAAATCAACGGATACGAGGCAATAGAATCTTCTAGAAAGCGCTATGGTGTCTGAAAATGATCACCAAATGCATTTCAAGATATTATGTGATAAGACATCCAATTGATTGAAACTCTTTCGAGTTGCATTTCCGAATCATGCGAGAAACATTCACCCGATGCACTTTTAGGATTTCATGCGACAGGACATTCGATCGACTCCACATAATCACCGGATGCGTTTCCAAGAACTCGAGCGAAAAACATCCGCCAGATGCACTTTTAGGATGTCATATGACAGGACATTCGGTCATAATTACCGGATGTGCTTCCGAGAAATCGTGCGAATAAACACATTCACCAGACACACTTTTAGGATGTCACGTGACAGGTCGAAAAAACATAATCATCTCGATCCAGAGGATTTGGCAACATCACATCAACATGGGGGGGGGGGGGNGGGGGGGGGGGGGGTATCACTGTGAGGACAAACCATTTGTAAAATGGGTCTGAAGAAAATATGTCGAGAGCTGAAGCTGACAATTTTTTGACTTGGGTAAATTTTTTTACATATATATTGTTGAAAAATGAGAAAAAATTATGTAATTGAGACTGCAAAAACATGCTGATTTAAGGTTCTGAGTTTAAAAGTCTGACTCTTCCATCAACGATTTCTAAACTATTCAAGGTACCAATCCCTTTGATACCTTGAATAGTTTAAAAATCAAAGTTTAAAATCAAACTTTAAAACTCAGAGTCTTATTTTGATAGCTCTTAAATACATTTTTCGATTTTATTTTTTATACATTATTTGGTTTATCTAATCAGTTAATCAACTTTCACAGACTCGAAAATGAATATGTTTTGCATTTTCTTCATTTTTCAAATTTCCATGTGAAAATCCAACGTTTCACTCCTCAGGAATTTTTTCGTTTTTGAGAAACAATTGCTTATATATTTTTGCCGTTTTCTGTTGCACGTTGCATAATAATTTCCCCCCCTTTTTTTCAATGATGAGACATTTTGCTCAAGATAATTTTTTTATTGATCTAATCAAAATTGTTTTACAGACATTTAACAGAATCAATGATATATTGGATTAAAGTACATATTCAGGTAGCGTGAAATACCACCCATCACTGCGATCCAACGGTGACACTTCTCTCGACCGCAAGAGTCACATCTTCCAATGGGCTCAGGCAAAGTATCCAGTGTAACAGTCTTTATATCGTAGACTGGATGATACTTCGGCCAAGTTTTGAGGATGGCGACCCATGATTTCCCTGTCGTGGAGTCTGTTAAGACGAGGGTCGTTGCGTTCATGCTTGAAAGTTTTTCAAAGAGCACATGCTTCTTAATGGGTCCGTCGCTAGACTTGTAAACATAGCCATTTGTGATGGTAAATCCGTCTGAGAGCAGACACAGGACTGCAAACGAATTTTTGTGATGGCCACGGTAGTATTTTAGTGGTAGCTGATTGCGAGGCATCCCACAAAACCTCGAAGGATAGGGAAGGAAGGTAGAATGTCTAGAAAAATCCATTCTATGAGGTATGCATGAGGGACGCTTGCGAGCAAAGGTATCAGGGTTAGAATCTCTGGGACGCTTTCTCGGGTCTGACATTTTTTGGCACATATCATTTTTGGCAGAATCGTAGGACTGTACTAAAGCCAGATGCTCTGTCGAAACTGGTTGATCAACGGAAGTTGGCGGGAGTAATGAAAGAATTTCCATGTCCTCGTCTTTTTTGTCAGAAGCATTGGATTGAACTTGAGCAAATATGTTCCCCAATTCACTACAGTCCTCATCAGTAGAAATGATTGGATGCATGCTTGCCATGATGCTATGCAGTCGACAACTTTCGGCGGTTCGAGTCAAGCTTTGAGTTTTTCAGACTTCTCAGGATGCTGGAGCGGCAACGACTGATTTCCAACTGTGCATGAACGCCTTTTAAACCCTCTTCTGAAAAATTTTATCCAATCAAAAGCGACTTTCAGTTTTCAACAGAGGGCGTCTTTTTTTTCCTTTCAAGGTTGTTGACTCATGTGTAGCTTGTCTCTAGGTTTAAAAATGTTTTTAAGAAATTTTTTTTCAATTCACTGTCCCCCCTCTAAGTCCATTTTCAAGGTCATCCAAACGGCAAAAAGATCACTAGATCCACACTAGTGCGGGTGAGGTACCATCATTTAACTTAAAACTAATTATAAATCTAAATCTAACCAAATTCGAAAACTAATACTGCAGATCGTCCCGGAAAATAATACCAGGAGCCACGGCATGTCAGTCGGTAAACTTCGGCAAGACTTTGCGCTGTGATCGGCGAGTCGAGTTAATCTTCGAATTTTTCAGACTTCATCTCAGGAGGCTAGAGCGGCAACGACTGATATCCAACTGTAAGTGAACGCCTTTTAAACCCGCTTTTGAAAAATTTTAACCAATCAAAAGCGACTATAAGTTTTCGAAAGAGGGCGCACCTCGCGCAAAGTATAACGTGTCTATAGAGTCGTCTGGATGAAATCAACATTGGCCCTGGGTCCATTGGACCCCCAAGGTAATTTTTTAAATTTTCCAGCAAAACGTATCATGTTGCTGTCTATAGACTCGTCTCGATGAGTTCAAGATTTTGGTAGCCTCCGTTTCAGTTGGACTCTCCATGGTACATTTTTTAAAATTTCAAGCAAAGCATATCATGTTAGGTGTCTATAGACTCTTCTCGATGAGATAAGGATTTTGGTAGCCTCCGTTTCAGTTGGACCCCCCATGGTACATTTTTTAAAAATTTCAAGCGAAGTATATCATGTCTGGTGTCTATAGACTCGTCCCGATGAGATAGGGTTTTTGGTAGCCTCCGTTTCAGTTGGACCCCCCACGGTACATTTTTTTAAATTTCAAGCAAAGCATATCATGTCTGGTGTCTATAGACTCGTCTCGATGAGATAATGGCTTAGGTAGCCTCCGTTACAGTTGCACCCCCATGGTAAATTTTTTAAAATTTGAAGCAAAGCATATCATGTTGGGTGTATATAGATTCATCTCGATGAGATAAGGATATTGGTAGCCTCCGTTTCAGTTGGACCCCCCATGGCACATTTTTTAACATTTCAAGCAAAGTATATCATGTCTGGTGTCTAAAGACTCGTCTCGATGAGATAAAGATTTTGGTAGCCTCCGTTTCAGTTCTACCTACCACGGTACATTTGTAAATTTTCAAGCAAAGTATATCGTGTTGGGTTTCTATAGACTTGTCTCGATGAGAGAAAGATTTTGGTGGCCTTTTTTTCAGTTGGACCAACCGTGGTACATTTTTAACTTTTCAAGCAAAGTATATCATGTTGGGTGTCTATAGACTCGTCTCGATGAGATAAATATTTTGGTGGCTAAAGCTTTAGAAAATTTCTTGGCGCTCGAGACAAACGTCGAGTCTCGATGATCTCAGCTCATCAGAATTTTCTGGAGCTCTCACAGCTTGCAAATGTTATGTGTTTATGTTTAAAGTAGTTTTCAAAATGAAATATAGATAACAGCACCAAGTCACGTGATTAGTAAATATTTAATTTTGCTTTATGTATATGTAGTGTAGTTCTCTATGTGCTTTGTCTCAATGAAGTTGTCTTATTATGTTGCGCCCAACGTGGGGCATTGATAACTCATGTAAGTGAATTTCACTTTGATTTTGAATTAATATAGTGACTTTGCTTGAAATTTAAACTTATATAGAATTAATGTAGAACGTCACTTATTGTTTTTGAAACTTGAGTAGAATTGAATTTAAATAACCATGTCGGTCAGTGATATTAATGAGACAGTTGAAATTGATGAAAATTTGAAGAAAAAATCTATTTAAAAGAGAACGACATATCGGTCATTAACAACTAAACCTCTAAATAAGATAGAAACCTGTCTTAAGGATGAAAGCTTAGATGATGAGAATAAAAATGAAGAATTAAAAACTTTATATGATCAATTAATTGAAAAGGAAAATGAGTTTTTGAAACTTAACATAGAGATAGAGGCATTCGTTTCCGTTGACGAAATCGAAAGGGAAATAATTACGGTTGATGAATATTCGGAGAAAATTTTAAAATGGAAAGGTAAAATTAAACAAAAACTTGATAAGATTAATGAAGAATGTCAGTCGGTTTCTAGTAACGAAAATTTACCGCAAAGTTCATTGAATAGAGTTCCTATAACAGAACACAAAAAATTTATTTCTTTGCCGAAATTAACCCTGACTAAATATTTTGGAGACCCCGGTTCATGGCTTGAATTTTGGTCACAGTTTGAGGATGCAGTACATAAAAATACCGAATTGTCAAATCTCGAAAAATTCCATTACTTAAAAAATTCGTTGGGTGGTTTGGCCTTGGCGAACAAAGAACACGAGGCGAGCTCAAATGATCAGAAAGTCGCTTGCCTAATCGTGATTGCCGGGAGAAAAGTGTTGAACCAAGCAGACTCCTCAATTTTGCTTTTAACATGTAACGTCGGCTTCTCATACTTCAAATCGATTTTTCGTGTTTAAGAATCGGAGTGATCAATTAAAAAAAAAAATACTAATAATTTTTTCAATCTTTCCTATTCACGAAAATGTAGGTCAATGTTTTTCACCTTCATTACTTTTTGTAATATTGCCTTTGAAACTCAAGTCACTTTCTACCTTTGAGTAAGGGAGGAAGGCAACTTCCACCATATGGCTTAAACTAGGAGATTTAGAATTCAAAACCAGATGACAAAATTAAAACACTGAGTCACAAAAAGACTTTAATAGCACAAATATGTGTCCTGAAATGTTCATAGTTTCTACTTTAAACAGATTATCACCAAATTGACATCATTGTTTCTAATCCTTTCATTTAATCATAAAAGTTTAAATGATCATACAGTGTTTATATTATTTTTGTCACTAATATCAAGGATAAATTCTAACGTGTTCAAGGAAACTTAAACTTTCAAATATCTATTTTCTAAAAGAAGAGATAGGAATACAAAAGATGCATTTTAACATCGATTTTCTGAAAGAGATAAGGATTAATTCCTGTAAATATGTATAGGTTCTTTTTTTTAAAAATTTCTATAACAGTTGTAGAACAGTCGACCCAAATTTAAGTTAATGGCTACCAATATTCAATTCCGTAGCCTAGTAATTTTTAACTCAATCCAGAAGACAAATGTACTCCGGGATCAAGTAATGGGAAAATTCGCCTTCGTGGAGGGCTTTATAGTGCCACTAACCCACATTTTTTTACATGGAGAGGAAAACCACAAAACCTCCAACAGTTAATCTGATGACAAGGGGACTCTAACCCATGATCCGTCAACCACAGAGGATATTTTACGTCAGCATTGTGGTCAGTGTGAGCCAGGTGCGGAATTCGTATAGACCAGCTACCGATGGGATTCAAGCACGGTTCACCTCATCAAGAGGCCAACGGTCTATCCCCTGAGCCTATGTATATATAAGTTTTCGCATAATCATTGCCTCTAATTTTATTTAATTTTTTTTTCATTTTTTTATAGCATTATAGTTACAATTTAAAAAATAATGGTAAAAATAACAGGAAAAAATCAACTTCTTAGCTGAACATTCTCCATAACAAGAGCAGTCACATCAAAATTTAATCTGCTTACTTATACAGTGGATAAGTCATATTTGCAACTGAGACCAGAAACAAGAAAGTGAGGTTTAGCAAGTAGTTTAACTCTTCAAAAAAACTTTTTCACTAACAACTTTTAGTCATCAACTGACACAAAATTCAAACATAAATTTTTGCAATGCATGCTTAGCTGTTATTTGTGAAATTATCTAAGCAAGTTTTATAATTGAAATTTAACACTCATACAATTACTAATACAAATATACTAAAATATGCAAAAAGAAAACAAAAATTAAGATTATTTAATTGAACCTATTGGGACCACATTCATAGACTACTAGTACTCCCTATTTCTGTGGCTCTAAATTGATCAAAAATTAGTATTATAAACATAAAAACATTATGTTCATTTGAAAAAAGTATAATTTGAGCATATTTTAAAACTTATATAATTAATTAATTATAATCTATATAGTATCGTAAGAATCCAAAGTTTAATATTTGATTGAACATAATATCTATTTTAGCCTTGGTAGAAAAAATGAAAACTAAATTCTTTTTAAATAAGTAATGTTTTAACAAATGTTCAACATAATAGTAAATGTATATATATATATTTTCTTGCATAAATTTCAATAAGCCCTAATTTTTTTAATTGAGAAGAAAGGTTGATTACACCTCTGTACACCACTAAGTATAGCAGTAGATTTAATAAAAGTTAAAAAAAAGCAATGATGAATTTTATAAATATGATTGATACATGAAGTAGAAAAATGTTTGCTTTAAAAGAAAAGAAAAAAAGAATTAACAAGTTAAAAAATAGAAAAAAAATTAGAAGAATTATTACCTTCAATGTATTTTTATTTTCAAATTTAGTATTGCTTTACATAGGAAAAAAAGATAAAGCACCACTTAATTAAATTGATAAAATTTCAAAATTATTATCAATATAAATATATTCATTTAGAAACAAAAATATTTACATAATGTACATAAATATACAATTCTCGTGCATATCACATTTTCTTCTGCAGTTTTTTGAACCTGAAATGTAAAAATGAATATAATGAGTCATTTTACATCAAAAATACATCGATTGCAAACGATTGGGGGAAAAAAAAGATGCGTAAATTTTTAATTTCAAGTATTTTATGATCCCAAAGTTTTTAATATATTATAAATTAAGGTAACAAGTTGGGAAAAAACATTTTTTTTAAAGTTAAAAGGGAAATAAGTGTGAAAAATTTAAAGGTTTTCTAAAATTATTATAAGTTACGTCCAAGTAAAATACTGACTTTTGTGTTTACAATTGTGCAGGAAGGATATGCTAACTAAAAATCTGCTGTAAGCTCTGTAAAATTGCGTGAAAAAAATGAAATAAAAAAAAAAACTTTAAATATTCTAATAATTATAGATGCCATCATTCCATAACAGATAAAAAAACAAGACAATATGAAACTAAGTGAACTAAAAGTGCAAATTGCTCAGAATCCTTTGTTAATATTTTGAAATTTTATGCTTTTATTAATATCTTTTCCTTTGATCAATTCGTTTCATAAATTAATAAAAAGATCTAATGTTTAATTTGAATTTCATGCAGTTATGTAAAGATTAATGTAGTTTACGTTCACCATAAAAAATTTTTTTTTTGGCCATGAAATAAAATATTTTTTTCTTGACAATATAAAAACCACAATAATAATTTTGAAATTCCTTAAGATTTGAGCTCTCAAATAAACTAAAACGATAAAAGTGAAAAGAAAATAAAGTGAAAATTGGTTTCTTTTATTCAAAACAGTAATTTAATTTCTCTCAAATATAATTAATTATAGGCATAAATCTATACTTAAAAGTGACAATCAGCCCAAGTTTTTGACTGTTTTAATTAGTTTTTTGCAGCTATCATGTCAAAAACGTAACCATGTTCAATGCTTATAAGAATATCATAGCAAAGTGCAAGTTTTGATTCACAATACTGCAAATATAAAGGCACTTTTTTATGATTTTCACAGGAAAGGCAGAAAGAATAAGAATTTTCTATCATTAAAAATGGTAAACACTGAAATAAACATAGGTTTTCCTTTCAAAACAGTAAAAAATTTTGGAGAGAACAAATGTATTTTTTTTAGTCAATTAACCTCCCATGGTAAATACTGTGCCAACCCTGATAAAAATTAATATAAAAAAAAAACTTGGTATTAATATTGAATTTCTTATTTTTAGAAACTTTGGGGCCATTACTACTGCACTGATCAAATCAAGATACATTAATTACTCAAATTCAATTCTCAATTTCCTATGCATATTTCCTATGAATTTTTATTTCAATGAAAAAGTAACAATAAAAAATATAATTGGTACAGTGCTATATAGTGTTTTCGATCACAAATAAGAATTTTCCTTTTTTTTCTTCATAAAAATAGAGAAGGCGCACATTGTTGATATCTGGGGTTGAAGCAAATTCCTTTTCAACTCTTTATGTATAGCAATAAATTAGACAATTGGATTACACTCCACTAGCTCTCTATTACAGAATTTGACCATTGAAAATTTCAAAGAAATAAATATTCTAATGAACTCTTGTTAAATTAACATAAAAAGATGCTATTTTAAAAAACTGCCATTTTATGTTTGGATCATATATCTCTGTCCCTCTTTTTTCTATTAATATATTTATTAATTTTTAATTTATGAGGGCCAATAATTTCAAATAAATTAAACAAATTTTCATTAAATATAATTATTATTCACAATGTAAATTTAAAACAATTTTGTAGTAAAACATACAGAATTGAAGCTTTGTACAGTTGAACTTTGATCCACTATTCCTCATCTTTTGTTTTTTCAAATGTATCATCTAGTTTTAACAGTCCTATCACAAATTCTTTTCTTATAAAGTTAATAATACCTGTTAGATCGTTTTTGAAACTAGCAGATTCCCAAGTCAACCGTTTAGAAACTCTACTACCATTAAAAAAATAAGAAAATTTATAATGGTTTCATGAGAAAAAAAGCAATTTCTGAAGCCTAATGATGAAAAAAATGAGGATATATTACAGCTTAGGGAAAATGCCTCAATCACCACGTGATGAAAATGCTGAAAGTTTTGGAGTTTTCTGTTCCAGAACTCGTTGCAGAAACTAAAAAAGGACCAAATGATAGCAATGGACATGGTGAAATGGAACCACCAGTGCCAACATAACGAATTTTCTGTGTTCACATGAGCTTACAAAGAATGAACAGCAATCAGTTACAAATGTTGAAAGTTTATGTATTTCAATATCAAATATTTGAAAGTCAAATATTTGATTTTTTCACGTTGATCTGCATTCATTGTTTTCCTGTATCTGATAATAATGATCATAATGAATGGTTCCATGAGAAACAGTAGATTGAGGTTTTATTGTATAACTTATTAACTTTCACACTACTTTGCAAAACTTATAAGGTATTATAAATTTTATAGAGATAAGTATAAATTAAGCAAAACATTTTTTTACGTAAATCTTTTTAATCAATAACATACTTTTCAAGAATAATTGCTGGGCTAATATCATCTTCAGCGTCTGAAGAGTATTCCTCAGTGCTTTTATGAGAACTTTTCTTTTTCTTCTTCTTTTTACTCTTAAAAAATAAAAATCAATATTATTATGTTACTAACTATATTGATAAACAACACTATACTTTTCACCAGCTTAACTTGATTAATGCTAATCAGTTATTTGTAGATGTAATCTATGGAAATATGATGTTTTCAGTCATGAAATTTAAAGTGTATCCACAAAACATTATTATTATTCCTGAAATAAATTTTTAAATGTTACTAAATTTAATGCTAAATAATAACTTTCAATTTAATAATTCTTTCATTTAGAATTACTTGACTTGTTTTAAAAAGAAAAAAAAATGAATGCTATTCATTTGCAGAATCTGAAGTTTATAATAGTACTAGTTATATAATCATTTAAATAAAATTCAATATTGCAAAAATTGCGAGCTAAGTTTTCTAGTTATTGAAATAGTGATCTATACTTTAAAACTACCTCATGATAAATATTTTCCATTACTGCAGTTAAGGAATTGGAGAACTATAGATCCTTGACACAATATTACTTTTCCTAAGGTTAAATTAATGCCAACTTTCAGGTTACATTAATGCCAAATTAAGTTAACACATAAGAAAGAGTGTATAAGTAAAATTTTGTGCATTTAGATCAGTAATTCCCAAAGTGGTCCATATCGACCCCCAGGGGTCGACGACAACCTGCAAGGGGTCCATGTCAAGTGAAAAAAAATTGAGGATCCATGAAATGAAAATGGGGGTCAACGATAGCGGCTCTCATATAAGCAGGTTGTGACTTTTAATTTTGGCATTTCATGAATGGAATAATCAACATAGTCTGATAGTACATATTTACTTACATTATACTACCTAATAATATAAAGACATACTACATTCTACATAATTTATAAAAGTAGCTATGATGTAAAAATTTTATTAAAATTTAAGTTATTAGGATTATTTTTTGATATATGAAACTGAATTATTATAAACTAGCAGTTGCCTGCAGCTCCGCCTGCGTACATTTTTATTTTTTCTGTGTGTAAGGTTTTATTTTGTAACAAAACCTTATTTTTCGCAGTAAATTGCAGCCTAGCATGTGTCAACTCTTTAGCTAGGTAGACCTCCAACTTTATCTGCGCACAAGATCACGGAGATTTGTTGCTTAGTTTTTATGTGAAAACGTAATAAACAGACTGACAATACACTATACTACGGCTTTGTATACAAACTTATTTCCGCAATTAAAATAACAGTAGCGGAGTACAAGTTTTATAGCGCACTATTTTATTCCATTTACATATTAATTAAATAAATTTTTTTTGAATTTAATTAAGAAATGTATAAAATGAACATGCGTTTTTTTCTTAAGTTTTTCACGCTACCCTTCATAACAGTTAGAAATTTAAATCTTTCACAGTGAGTAGCACTATACCAGGTGACAAAAATACATTTGAAATTGATGAATTTACAAAAAATCAATATCAGGTAAGCAGGGAGTCTACTCAAAACTGAAAAACATGACGAGGGGTCTACAAGACAAAAAATTTCAGGAACCACTGATTCAGATGAATTAATTTTTTCAAGATATTGTAGTATAAGTTATTTATTTATTTAAACAGTTTCTAAAACAATACTTACTTTGTTTTTATGATGCTTATGTTTATGTTTCAATTTATGCTTCTTACTTTGATACTTCAAACTGCTTCCTTCAGAGAGTTCTGGAAAGTAAAACCATTCGTACTTTAAAGCAAAAGACTTAATAAAAAAAAATTAAGAAAATTTTACCTTAAGAGAAATATAGTATATTACTTAGAACAAAGTACTAAAAAATATGCTGCTGAATTTATAACATGAATAGCACTTAAGCTCTAAAATACGACTTTCTTTCTTTGAAATGATATTAATACAGCTAATGCAAAATGACAAGATACCGGAAAGCATAGTGGAAATGTTATAGATTTTATAGCAGGTCAACTGAATCATATTTAGCAGAGGGCACTATTTTCAAAAATTGAAAATTTTAAATGATTAAAAAAAGCTGTTGAGCACTCTTGGCATTTGCTGCCAAAAATAAGTTTTCAGAGGTTACTTTTTCAATAAAAACACTCAAAGATTGACGCTTAATACCATTACTCACTGAGTTCAGTGATGCTTAAAGCCATGAGAAGACAAATATTTGTTGTTTAGTTGAATAAGAATAAAATCTTACCTCAAGAAATTTTAATTTTTAAAAACATATCTCTTAAACCCTACACCCACTAGGCTTTTCAATAAAAACAAAAAGGTAAAAAAATTGTGGGATATAACACTACATAAGTGGAAGTCTAAAAAAAATCCCTGGATGAAATCTAATTTTTTCTGACAGTCAAATTCGCAGTTTCAGTGTAATCGTCAAATAAAATTTTCTTAGATGAAAAGGCTACCCAGGAGAAACAAAATTTCAAGGAGACATTACTGTTACCATGGCGACAAGAGCTTTGATTTTTTTTTTCATTGTTTAACTTAGCAGAAAAAAAACATTGTTAAAACAAAAGTAGCAAAGTAAAAGCATGAATTTTAAAGATTATGAAAAAGGAATTCTAGACATTCAACCTGTTTTAGTTTCATTTACATATTAGGATTATGATGCTCTTGCAATGATTTTGCATTTAAGCAATTTATATAGATATTTATTCATGAAAGATACATTTTGATATAGATATTGCAAAACAGATGACATATTTAAATCTAATTATGTACATACATTTTGAATGAAACTTCAACTCAATAATGAGATTTGAAATGGTACGACACATAATGAGCGTATTATTTAAAATAGGCATTAAAATATGCAAATAAAAAAATGCATACCAGAATAATTAGGTGGTAATGCAGGACCATAAATGTCATCTTGTTGTGCTTCTTTAGTTTTTGTTTCATTGGACACATCTTTGTCATTATTCAAAGCATTGTTTGTACTGTTAGTTGTTGGCTTTTCTTCAACAATAAGCTCATCCTTTTTGGGCAAATTTCTCTGATTCAGTGCATCTAAATCTAAATTAGCAAACACACCAAACCCACTTTTTTTGGGAAGGTTTTTATTTTCCAAAGAATTTGCCTTTGAAATATCTTCAGTTAAAGTGTTTGATGGAATGACTTTGTCAGTTTCCGCTTTTTCCGTTGATTCAGTTTGTTTCGTATCCATTTCAGAAATATCCTCATCATCCGAGGATGAATTTTCAAATATAGCTTTGAAAAAATCCATGGAGGGTTTTACAATTTCATCTTGACTAGTCTATAGAGAAAAAAAAATGTAAGTAATTTCCTTATTTAATTTAAAATGACTTATTACAAATGGTTTTAATAATTTGTATAAGAAAGAAAAATCAATAAAGAAGTGTTAAAAATACATGAAGGAAAAAAAATCTTTCATTATATTTTATTATTGATTAATTTAGTTAATACATTAATTTAGTTTATATATTAATTAATCATAAAATTTTTATAAACATCATTAGTTAGATCCAAATTATTGAAAATTCAGGCTTCGAAAGTTTAATTAAATGACAAATTTTTTCCTTTACGGATAAAATGTATTTGCAAGGAAAAGCATTAAATGGTTTTAAATTTTTTGGTGACATTTAAGAAAGATTTGGTGATAAAATGTATGTGGGCAACAGTGGCGTATCTAGGGTATGGCAGGCGGGGCGAGAGCCATGGACGCATTATTTGAAAAAGGCGCAAAATCAACCAACACCAACGTTTCTTTGTTTTTTTCAAAATATTTTGATATTTTGTTTGTTTTAAAAAAATAAATTTCACTTACATACAAATACAAATTTTAAAAACAATAATAAAAATTTAAAAAAAATAAATAAAACATTGAAAAGAATCATTTAGAAAACTCTCCAGAATGCAGAATAAAAACTTCCAATGATGGGATCCTCAGATAAATCTTTATTTTTCCAGTACCATAAGCAAAAAGACAAGATAAACATCTCTTCATATCACATTACCAGGATGTTAAAGGGCAATTATCTGGGGATGAATAGAACACCTGCAGGCAGAGAATAGCCCTTTGGTGGTGACAGAGGGCAAAGAAATGTGAAAACCATGGAGTGTCCCTGTCTAGTTTAGCCCAATTATCATACCCTTAAATGCTTGTAGATCTTAAATTTTATCAGGGGTGAAAATCACTTTGAAAAGCGGCTTTCGAATTTGTTGAATATACAAATAGAACCCTTGCTGTAAATTGGCGTAAATCCTTCCAAAAAGGGAGGTTTTGCCACACATGGTGGGAATCACTGTCACAAAACATTTAAATACTAAAAACAGGAGGTGCCTCTGCCTTGCTTAAACCAATGGTAATACTCAACAATGAATAAACCCCATCTATTCTTTTTTTATGAAGAAAAAAAGACAGCCATAAGTGTAATTTAAACGAAGTATTAGGATTTTCTTAAAATCAAGGATTAAATTGTAAGTAATCATTTCTTATTTATTGAAATCATGCTCACTTTATTATTTCACGTTATATTTTGTAGCGATCGATATACTTTCTAGCAATGCCAACTGCTCCACTTTCTTTAAAATATTTTATTCAGTGGTAGTTAAAAACGAAACCATGCAGAATTTAAGATAATTCTGGTAAAATTTATAATTCTCACCTGGAACAAAATTATGTTTCACATGATTTTTTTCAATTATTTATTATTTATATGTAGAAAGGGAAAATGGTTTTACATTAAATAAACAAAGAATCATACAATAAATGTAACTTTTGCACTCAATAAAAAATATTTTTCTATATGGAGCAGAGAAAGTTTGCATCTCTGTATATGTAGATTGAGAGGGGCGTTTACTACATTAGAATATTTTGTTTTTGTATAGAATTATTTTTATGAAACAAAGTAATTTAATATGCACAATGATATTTTGGTAATAAAAAGTGAACTTCGTGTAATTAAATGCTCCTTATTGTATTATTATTAAAAACAATGTCTTAATGGTAAGAAAAAACGAATGTTAAAATTTGAAATGTTGGAAACATAATTTTTCAAGTTTCCTGAAAAATTATTGCAATAAGTAAATATTTTTGTGTAAATTACGTAGCATTGGCTCAGTTAAGCGTGCCAACTATGGAGAAATAGATTTCTTTTCATTCATTAAAAGATAGATTTTAGGTTTAAACACTCATAAAAGTTTTATTTTTAATTGATTAATTTATTTATTGAATGAATAGATTAAGGAACGTATCGTTAATTGTTCAAACTGATCTTTTTTTTTTTTTCTTAAGTCACAGAAATATTATTCACACACAATTTTAATTTTAAATTAATAACTTAAGCTCAAGTTTAAATAATTCTTTTGTTTACAAATTGAGAAAAAAAAGAGTTGTGAAATTTATCAAGACCTTACTTAGTATTTTTTTTAATTTCAAAGCATCTTATTTGTCCATTATAATTAAAATAAAATGGAAAAAAATATCATTGAGGCTATAATATGTATTTTATAACTATCTATTAAAGCAGCACAATAACAACAATAATTCTTTCTTCATTATCCCTTTATTTTAAGAAAATAAGAAAAAAATAATGATAAACATCTTATAGAAAAATTCGAGCTTGTTTATTTATGAAACATATGCATTTTTAGAAAAATTCAAAAAACCCTCTCTCCTCAAAATATTCAAAAGATTTATATCTCCTTTTTTTAAAAAGAGCATTTTAAACCTAATTAAATTCGATTAATTTTGGAAAGATTTATTCGGATAATGGCTTTGTCAAAAAAATATCGATTGTTAAATCCTTTATTTTATAGATGAATTAATTATTTGTTGCTTGTAAACTGAAGTTGCATTTTAATGTAAAGGTTCTCGATTGGGTAAATTTTTAACCGCTTAAAATTTTAAACTTACTTATTACCCCAGACAATATTTAAATTTTAAAAAAATGTCTGTGCATCATTAAATGTTTAAACGAATAACCGCTAAGGCAAAAATTTACTTTATTAATAATTATGTATTTGTCGATCTATGTGTTAAGATTAAATTTGATCATATGAACTTTAAATCATTTTTTCTGTAAACGTGCATTTCGTCTCTACCTTCTTTCTTTTTAATATTTTCAACTAATTGCCGCTTGAGTGCAAATTTTAAGAAACGACATTTTTATTAACTAAGGTTTAACGTAGTAATTTGGTCACATAACAGCCTACTTTGGTTTTAATAAACCGTAACTATAGAAAATTCTCAGAACTATTCAAAATATTTAATAATAATATTACATTACCTTCCTTTAAAAAACATTTTATGCCCACTCAAAATAATATTTTTTTTTTAGGTAATTATTTTAGCAATTTTTTTTTTATCATAGATTATTGTAAAACAGTTTGTATTTATTATATTAATTCAGAACATTTCTTCTTAAAAAATTAAGTTTCTATCCTCTATTTCATTTTTTTTTATTTTTTGAAATATGTGAAAATTGTGACGAATATGAACAAAAGAAATTAATATGTGTTTTTAACATTTTAATATTAGTGCAGATTTTCTAAATGTGTTTTCAGTTATTATTGTACTATTGTTACATTTTTGTTTCTTTACATAAAAATAATATTCCATTTAGCTAAAATTTAAAGGAAATATACTAGGGGGGTGGAGGGTGTCATTACGATTCACAGAGTTTCGACCTGTTTTTCTAATCTAAGCTTCTAGGGAAAATTTTGAAGATCAAAAACTTAAATTCGATGAAAAATGAATGACATGTTTACTAAGGGGAAGTATGTTTTTATATTCGATTTTATAGCTCAAATTATTGTATGCACTACATTTTTAGCTTATTTCTATGGATTTAAAGAAAAATAAAGTAATTTACAATTTTATCGTAATATTTCGTAATTTAAACTACCTTTACAATTTTTATTCAAATTGATGGACTACCACAAGGATCTATTTTTTCATCTCTCTTTGCTAACTTATTTTGGCACTATTATGAAGAAAAAAATCATGCTCTTAATATTAAATATGTTTTTAAATTTATTGCTCAGCCTTTCATTCCTTCAGTGGGTCGATAAATGAGTACCAAGCATGCTTGGGAACTAAACACTGGGGGTTTTGCGTTTGACTGACCACCTAACCAGAACATCTGCTCCTGCACCCCAGAGCCCAAGGTCAAGTTAACTGAGATGGGCACAGTAGGCTTTGTTCCTCTATGGGCTGTCGCGCCTCTAAGTTTAGTTTTTAGTTTAGATTTATTGATGATTTAACTATCTTTAATCTTCAAGGTTACACAATTTTTTTTAAATAACATTTACCCAGAGGAATTAATCTTGTTTTGTAATCAAGATGATAATATTAATTATAATTTTTTAGATTTGGGTATTATAAAAGAAGAAAATATCTGCTTTGTTGATTTAAACGATCAAAGAAGTGATTTTAATTTTAATATAAATAAACTAATTACTTTAAAATTCTAATGTTTCTAAAATGCTTTTAATGTTTAGAATTCTAATCTACTTAAATACCATTTTTAATTAACTAAATAGAATTAAATAGAGCATAAAGTAATGTTTATTTATCCAAAAAAAAATAGACAAACTCTGTAAAAATTTGATAAAAAACAATGGATACTCAACTGAAGTAATAAAATTCTATGTGAAATCATTGATTTAATTGTATGCTATTATAAATAAGTTTATTAAGAACTTCTTGGATAATTTATATAATTTCTACCATGGTGGCTAAAAATATGCGCAAAATGGCGATTCATGTTTCTTTCTCTCTTTTTTCCCCCTCTTAAATAAATGCGACTTTTCCAAAATCATTAAAATTGTATAATTGAATATCAACTTTATTAATTATGAACTTATCCAGTATATCACTTTGTGCATATCCATTTTCGAGCAAATCCTTGGTAACTGACAAATCAAACGCGCTTCAGTACTGTATTACACACACACATACATATATATATATGCTGGTGTGTATAGATATAATAGATATGTGTTAAACAATAGAGAATAATAAAAATATTTAAGAAGGGAGCCGATAGGGAGGATTGCCATAGGCGCCATTTTCTCTAGATACGCCTCTGGTGGGCAAGGTAAAAAAGTATCTTAGTGCGCTAACAAAGGAAGTGGCATGCATTTAAAAAATATTTTCCTTTTTTAAAAATATTAAGCGAAAACTGCAATCATATAAGTATGTATTTGAATGTAGAATTTATTGGGGCAAGAGTTAAAAGTTAAAATAGGCTGTACTGCATCCAACAGTGTCTTTGTTAGGATGCACTGCATGTTTGTATGTAATTATGAAGGTTGATATAGAAAGTGCAATTATACTAAACTGAAGTAATTAAATTTATAATTCTAAATCAATAATTTTTTTCAGATTAATAATATAGTTTTTTTTATATAAAAATGAATAATTAAAATCTTAAACAACAATAAAAAAGCGTCATTCAAAATTTATCCTAGTGGGCTTAATTTACATGGAAAAGTTCATATTTGTTACAAGTCGGTATAGGAAATATAAATGATGAGTGAAGTAAAAGGAAATTAGTTAAATAATGTAATTAGTGAAAGAGTTCAAATTTCTCAAAGTTTATTTTTATCTACTTGTTAAACAAATTATTTTTGCAACAGTCAAAGGTATAAATGGGAATGAGGTGTTTTCTAAATTTTATTTCTTCAGAATTATTTTCCGCCATCAGAGTAAACAAATATGTACTGTCTATATGCTAATTCATTATTGTAGTTTTCAAATTTTCTGTTCTTATTTTTATTCGATTTTTATGTATGCTGTTACTGTCTATTATCTGCCATTGAAAAAAAAAAGTTTTCAAATTACATTTTTAATATTAATATTAAAAAGACTGCTAAAAAAATATTTTATTCAGCAAAAATATTTTTAAAGTATTTTTTTTAAAAATTTATTTAATGCTGCAATATATTAATTAAAGTATTGTTAAATATAAAGCTCTATCATGTTAAAATAAATAATAAAAAAGAAATTTATTCTTTATTTTTCAAACCTTCCCTTTATTTTCCCTTACCTCTTTATTTCTTTTCTATTCATTTAGTACTAAAACATACACTTACTGCTTTATATATTTATATTTATGCAGTCCACATTTTTTCCTTTTCCTTTCATCATTTTATGAATTTTAAATATTTTTTTAATTTTAAAAATAAATTGATAATAAATATTTAAGATCTTTAGTTATTAAATATTTTTATTATGTTTACATAGTTATGAGCAAATGTGAATATTTCTGTATTCTTTAACAAAATATTAAATCGAAAATAAAAAGATTTTGATGAAATACTTTTTTAATTTGGGGGTTAACATGTTATTTAACTTTTTGTTTTAAACAACCAGATAAACCTTGCTTAAATCAAAATAAACCTTTTTTTAAAACCGTTTTTACTAACCTTAGTTAATAATATCTGTTCAGATAGTTTTTGAAACTCACTAATTTTTATGTCTATTGTTCAGAAATTCTACCAACATTAAAAAAAATATTGATTTTCTCTTGTTAAAAAATGAATAATAGTTCAGAAAGTTTTTGAAACTCACAAATTCTTGTGTCTATTGTTCAGAAATTCTACCAACATTAAAAAAAAAAATATTGAGTTTGTTTTGTCTTGAGAAGAAAAACAGAGACTTCAGATGCTATTAATGAAGAAGAAAATTAGGATTTGTTACAGTTTGGTAAAACACCTCAAACAGCATGCGTGATGTTTATGCATTAATTGATTGCTCAGTGATAGTAATGAAGATGGTGAAACAGAACCACAATCAGTACCAACATTTGCAGAGAGCCTTTAAAATAATGAGTAATTTTCTGAATAATACCAACTTACAGAAAATAAACACCCATCTGTTAAAAATGTTGAAGACTTATAGTTTGAGGTAAAAAGAAAAGTGTGTTCAAACCAAAATTTCCATATATTTTAAATAAAAAAATGTGCTTATTAATCTTCCTTTTGATTTCTAAACATTGCTTGCACAAACTATATGATTTTTTGATTAAATCTTTCTATACTTATTATAGACATATTTTTTTCCAATTCTATTACTTTTTTATTACCTTTCCTACATTTTCAAGTCATTATTTGATATTTTATATCAACCCACTATCATCGTTTTCCTGTATCTAGTGTTCACGAAGAATGATCCCACAAGAAAAGTTGATTAAGGCTCTGCTTTAAATGCTAATAGAATATTAAATGATTTTAACTAAAAGTAAGTACCTCAATATTTACTTTCTCATCAGTTTTATGAATGCTATCAATGTTCTGTTGAGGTTGTCCAGATTTTTTAACAGGATCTAAAATAAGAAGTAAACCATTATAAAATATCATATGTTTAGTCTTCACAAAGAAAAAAAAAGAGTTTGAAAAACTAGAGGGGAAAAAAACTTTCAGAAAAAGTTTTGTGAAGTTTGTAGTTTAGAGCAGATCTAACTTGAATACCAAAGTATTTATTATTTTTCTGTACCAAATCAAACAATATATGATTTGATATCAAAATTATTACCAAATAGCTCTAGATTAATTCTTACTTAAAAAGCTAGATTCAAAGTAAGTTTTAATAAGGTCATTCCAAAGCAGGAAAAATTGAAAACTAAAAAGATGCAAACAAAATAGCTTAGTAAATATTTTTTTAAAATCATGTTTCACAACAGCTTTTAACAGGGAGCTTTCCTTTTGATCTTACAGCTCAGCAAACACTTTAAGTTAACTTTAAAAGCACTTGTAACAAAGACCATAAAATCCTTTCGTTTTTGCATCTTTAGATATTATATAATTGATATTAAAATAAAATTCATTTTTAGAAATATAAAAAACAACTGATTTAATATCAAAATTCTTTTGATTCATACATAGAAACTTATTTATTTTTGTTTCTAATATAAATAATTTTGTGGCTGAAAGATGAAGGTCATTTGAATGACCTTTGTCTAAAAGCAGATGGAAACAAAGTTTTCATTTTTTTCATGGAATGTTAAATATTGAGGTATAGGATAATGATAAAAAGTAAAAATGGTATTACACTACATATCTAGATCAAATATATGAACACCAAATATAAATATAGGAACTTGATTTACATTGAACATTATTCAAGTGTTTAGTAATTAATGCATTAAGAACAACTTTCCCAACAATTAATTTAACAAATTATTATTATTTTTGTCATTTTTCCTTAAACAGGTCTTAGTAAAATAAATATTCATTTTTATTAAGAAAATTTTAAATAGTTATAAAGTTCGACAAAAAAAAAATCAACATTTATTTAAGAAACTTCTACAGAAATATTATTTTTAAATGCAAACACATTATTTACCAAATCAACTTCAAGTACAAAATATTTTTTTCAAAGTCAACAATTTAAAAAAAATAATAATTGTTACATTGAGTGCTATTTCTCTTTCATTCATTTATTTTCAGTTTCCTCAGTAATATATAGTTAAAAAGAAAAAAAAATGATATAAATTGTTTTTGTCTTAAAGAAAACACTTTTTAACAGGTACTATAAAACATTTAACTAACCTAGCAACATATCAGAACTTTCTTCAACTGACATTTCTTTTTGAGGGGTTGACGACAAAACTTCAGATGTATTTGTATCAACAGTGATGTTTGGTGTGGTAATGTGGTCAAATATTGACTTTGACTGTTGTGGCGTTGCAGTTCCAGATGGAGTAGAGCTAGAGGTAATAAGCATGAAAATTAAACATTACTATTATATATATACACACATATATATATTTAAATTGAAATAGACATTAATAAGTGTCTACTTGCAGTGTTTTACTCTATTTGAGCAAAGTGTTAGCTAATGTGATTCTTGTTAAACTGAAAAATAAGACGATATATACAGATGCTGTTTAGTTATTTACTAACTAATTCCTTTTCCTACATTGTTTCGATGCTATGCTTAGGCTGGTTGATGATAATTTAATTACAGTAGAGTCCCGATTATCCGAGTTAATGTGGACCAAGACTAACTCGGATAACTGAAAAACTCGGTTAAAATGAAGAGTATAAAAAAAGAAAGAAAAAGAGTTGGTATAAATGTAATATATTTAAGAAATATAAAATTTATACGAGTATATCACATACAATTCCTATTATTATTATTAAAAAGGTTACTTGAAAAAACTTAGAAAGTATACTTTGCGAGAATTAAAGAGTTTTTACTTAAAAGAAGTCCTTAATCGTTTTTTGTTTTACATAACTTTGGTGCTTTTCTGCAGCGATGTTTCGCCATTTTTTAGGGATAACAGGAAGGCTGGTGTCGCCTCTTTCTGTTGTTCTATGTATTCAGAAGCATTTTCGGCAGCTTTAAGTTCATCTGTGTGAGAGATTTTTATATGTTGATTTTCATCGTCACTGTCTTCATCATCTTCCTTAGGTTCATTTTCATTATTGACAATATTAACGATCATTTCATGGGATCAAGTTGTTAGATTTTGTTTCCTCGAGTGTTTGGAAGATAAAATTCCGATTTATTTTTTGGCGGTATTTTAAAAAATAAACTAGAGCAAAGAAAATCCTTAAAATATGTGATAGCTCGGTTAAAGTGGAAACTCGGATAACCGGGGCTCGGATGATCGGGATTCTACTGTAATTTTGTTTTAGATTGCCTTATTTTGCATGAAACATAACTTTTCTATGTAGAATATTCTCAGGTTCCAGTATCTGATGATAATGCGGGTGAAAACACTGGATGCAAGGATTTAGAGTTTTTATAATTTTTGTTATTTGCCCAAAAGATTGAAAATGATTTAGAAAAAATTAAATAATATAATAAATAAAGGAATAGTGGAAAATCGTTAAGACAATTACAAATAATAAACAAATCAAAAATGGAGAGATTGTAAAATTACTTCTTTTTAACAAGAGTGTATAAAAGTTATTTATGTGGGGCAAAATCATCTGAATAATAATAAAAAATTCGCTAATAATTATCAAACATAATGAATACATAAAATAATAGCACAATTGTCAGAGGAAAGGTTTTAGTTCTTTTTATTTAGTTATCTGTTAAAGGTAATAAGCTTTATTAAACATACATAAGAAAATAAATGTAGAAGATAAAAAATCAGATAGAAGACAATTATTTAATTTTTTCACAAAAACCCAGTAGTGATGTGATATTAGAGAGATTTCACACAAACATGAAGCATCCTATATGTTCACATATATAGGCTCTGGGTAAGGTCTATTAAGAATCCTGGTTGTGTTTTAGTAACTGCTCTGTGTAGAACTTACATGCATGACTGTTCAGGATGCTACACGAAAATGCAAAATCACCTTATTATTGATAAAGATTTTAACGACATATACTACATATATTCTATATTTCTGTCATAAAATTCTAAAGTGAAGTCATACTTAGGATATGGGTTAGGTACATTAAATCTCTTGCACAGGAGAGAAGATGGATACCAATCAGATACTACTCGGTTCTTCAAACCAACTAGCTTCTTTACAGTCGAAGAAGATTTTAAACTTTTCTCGTGCTAATAAAGGTAAAAACATAATAAAAAATTCATACATTTAAAATCAAAACAAAACATTTAAATTTATCTGTATATAGTAATTAATAAAATTATTATAAATATAGGTCACAAATAAGTTTTCACAGATTTACCAAAAGCTGCAAAAATTAAGAAATCTCATATGTTTACTTCAAGTAAACTTTTCAACAAAAATACATTAATGAAATGTAAAATAATATTAATAAATTTTTACAAACCAATGAGAACATGCATAGCAATGTATACTGTTTTGAATAGCATGCAATTTTTATACAAGTTTAGAAAATATATTTGAAATAAGTTCACTTGACAAAAAATTAATTAACCCCAATGAAATCACAAGAAGCAGTAGGTATTTGATGCCCTGATATTCTGCCTCTGATTTTGAAAACTTACCTGGATATGGTTAGGAAGTGAGTAAGTTCACAAAGTTTTCCAGGCAAGTCACATCTAGTTTAAGCAACTCACTGAAGATTTAATTATACAGATCCATGAAATCACAGGAATACTGTTTCCAGTGTTTCACCTGCTTTCCCAGCGTGTCTCATATATTTTGCATGGGGTTTATGAAAGGTACATTTGCAGGCCAATGGAGATGAAACAGGTTTGGGTACGTGTTCATAATCGAATCTTATATTCTTCCAGATAAATCAACTTTGCTATTGTTCTTTTGAAAAATACAGGTATCAACAGCATATCAATCCTAAAGATTTTGACTGGAAGAAATTAATAATTTTATCAACATCAATGATTAAGACTTGGATTATATTAACATTCTTGGAACTATCCAGAATGTTAAAGTAAACATAGCTCAAGTAAGTGTCCGTTTCAGTGAGCTGAATCAAGCCACAATTAGAAAAACATCCCCAAATCATAATAGACTAACCCCCGACTAGCAAGTAATTTCATGATTTCTCTGACAGTTTATTAATTTTTTGTTTGGCGTGTTTCTGTAAAGAATACAAACCTTAGCTTTTTCTATGGCATCCATTACTTCATGTTCCACACTGAGGTGGGATCTACTCTCAAACTTAGAGCTTAACATGCCAGACAAAGGCCTGAAGAGAAGAGAAGCTCTGTGAAATTCTTCTATTTCTTGCTGTTTCTCCCATTCAGTCATTGAAGATGGTGAAACCAATTTGTCAAGTTCTGTTAAGGGTGCAAATTTAATGATGTTTAGCCAATAAGTCTAATTAATTATTAGCCAGGCATGCTTCAAGAACAAAAGAAACAATATCTAGCAAATTTAACGAGTACAAACATTAACAATACAATTAATGGTTTGGTATATTTAATAAAAAGTAATTTTTATATAAATACACCAAAACAAAAAAAATTATAAAGTTCTTTTTACACACAAAAACTTTAATTTTTACAAGGAAGTTATAATATGATTTAGATGCATCATAAATATGAACGCATAATATAATTAAAATAAATAAAAAAAATGAATTAATTTTAAATGCTTTCAAATTACAAAATTTATGAGAAAAAACATTTATTTTTGTTTGAATATGCATGTAAATATATCATTAAGGATTAAAAACTTTTCTTATTCTAAGTTCAGAAGATAGTAGAAAATCATGGAATAAATTTACAAAATCCTCAAAAATTTTATCTATTATAAGTTTAGATGCATTTGAATTCCACTATCTATCAGTATGAAGTGTACAACATTTGAAAATTATAAAAAATTGAACATTTTTACCCCTCCCCCCCAAATTGGCAATATATTTTATTGCCTAGAAAGTAAAGCAAATATTCTAATTCTGCTAATAAGACTAACAAAGAAAAATAAAATAAATTTTTTTACAAAAGTTAAATCAAAGAATGAATTAAAACACTTTTTATATTTTTAATGTAATATAATACATTTGTTATGATAAATTTTCAAATCAGTTACCTCCAGAATCTTTCAATTTTAAAAACTCTTCATATCTCTTTTGTTTCATGACATCATTAACAAATGGCTTAAAAGTATTTTTGGAAGTTGTTATTCTCAACTCATTCGGTGGTACACTTACTTCTAGTTTATTTTCTTTAACTGGCTGGGCTGGAGCTAAGAATAGAAAAAGACTGTACACGTGAAACAGTAAGATAGACAGAAACATAAATTTGTTTGTAACTTTACATATAAAACAATTAAAAGATAAAACTTTCTCAAGAATTTAAAATTCTACTAAAGTAAAAGTATTAAAAATTATTTAGTGTGAAATTATAATTAATAAACATAGCAAAGTAAACGCTCTATAACCTGAAAGGTCAATGAAAACTGGGAAGACTGAGGAAGATAAGGATAGATAAGATTGAGAGAGAAAATAAAGAAGAAAATACGAAAGAAAAGCAATAAAATAAGAAATTGGAAAGCAAAAGCACAAGATAGAGTGCTTTAGAGTAGAATTGTTTGCTATGTTTCAACATTGATTGTAGTACCAGGGAGTAAGAAAGTAAAAACTGGGGCTGTAAATCTCTTGCATACCATGCGCAGTTTTTCGACAGCTGAGAAGTTGCACCTCATAGCTAGCACACTTTTTCCACTTATTTTTTACACTTTTTATTTACTTTTAAAATTATTTATTATTATTTTTAATATTTATATTCTAGGGCAGGTAATAAAAAATACAAGGATATAATCTGTTTTGCTTAGAGGAGAACAAAGAATAACTAAATCCCAATGTTAAACTAAATTAATTTACATGAGTTTAATAATCGCCAATCTTCAATAGTAAGGAATGATTTTCTGTCGTGAACGTGATTCTGTTATGATGAAGCTACAGTTGGCCATAGGGTTTCCTTTATAGAAGAAAACTCTAAACCAGTACGTTGCAATCTACTCTGACAACAAGAATAACTTGGAAATGGAAGTAATGACATGTAGTGTGGTGCTTTTAAAATACTTCTATGCTACTAACCATCTTTTATGTTATCTTGCAGTAGATTAGGGGTTGATAAATAGAGATAAAGAATCTGTTTTGATCAGAGGAGAAAAGAAAGCATTAACTTTATCAGATAGTTAAATTACACAAATAACTTAATTAATTTTTAATGAAATTTTAATCTAAAATAAGGAATGCTCTCCTGTACAAGAAAGTGGTTGCTTGATGAGGAGACTTATAACTTCCAGAGTATCTCATTATAGAAAAGCCTCAATCATAGTTGTTGGCACTTAGAACAAGATCAATGTGAAAATAGAAGTGATATAAAATCTTTCCCACTATATGATGCCTTTTTAATATTTCTATGCTATTCACTTCATGTAATGTGAGAAAGCAAAACAAACAAATGAAATAAATTAAACCATTTTATATTCTTTAAGTCAAGTATTTTTGGAATTTGGAACAAAAACAAAGCTTAACTGGTTGAAGCAGATTAACAACCAATTTGAATAAAAGCTATATTTTTTTAAAAAAAAGTGTTTAAAAAAAACACAGACATAAAATAAAAACAAAACAAAATTATTCATGTTAAAAGCAATTGAACACAATTATTACTTACTTTTTAATTGAATGGATTGAAATTTATTTTCTCCAAGCAAAAATGCCCGCTCTGTTACAGAGCTAGTGCGATAATATTGTTGTATAGAGTCTTTGGAATGACTTTTGGATTGAGACAATAATTTGGAAAATTTTGGTATAAAATCAGGAGGTAATTTAGGTGGTGGATAGTACTTCTGTAAAACACATGGTTGTGAAGCTAGCCGAAATCCTTCTATAACACCATCAGGGTATTTTTTAAATGTATGCTTTCCTATAAAACAAATACAAATATACGAATTTATGAATTACAGGGAATATAAAAAGTCTCTAAGACTATTTTTAACAATAACAATCAAACATAATAATAAGTTTAAGATGTATTTATTTATAAAGTTGGCAATTGTTTAGATTGATATAGCAATTCTGATAGCCATTACAAAGCTAAATTTTGAAGGTCAAAGTTTTTGAGTTTCAAGAAAAATTGAACAGTAACAAAATTCAGCTTAGTGAAATTCTCGCATATGAATAACACTTTTGTCGGACAATTTATGTAACACACACTTTTGAAATATTATTTTATTAAAATTGCCATTCAAAAAAAAAAAAAAATGTCTTACTGTTAATAAAAATTTCATTTTCTTAAAATATTTTTCAAAAAAAAAAAAACTTTAGGTAATAAAGTACAACATTATAAGATCCCTTATCCGTCTGCAAGGCTGTAGCCTTATAGGAATATGGCATGGAAATAAATGAATAAGAAATAATGGGTTGTCACTGCCTAGACTAGCAGATGTTGCTATATGAGAACCATTAAATAGAATCTACTCATTGTTACTTCTGCTACTCTTGTATTTGCTTGTGTTTTCTTAATTAAAATGTTGAATTTTTCAGCATAGTATAAATTTTCTCAACAGACATTTGATAGTCTGTAAACACAAAGTTTTTTTTTCCACAAAAAAAAAGAATCAAAAATTTATAACAGTTGAATAATAGCATGAAAATTTTGAAATTAGCATAAAAATAGCATTTGCAGAAAGTTTACTCTACAGTTTGGATATTGCAAAAAAATTAAAAAAAACCTCAAAATGTTTTTAATGACCTAAAATATGATAACATATGTCTGAAAAAGGGTGATGCATAAAAGGTGGGTAAAGTTTTATTAAATAGGTTGAGCTCAATGTCATCAAGGTGGTAGTGATAATTTATTTAGCATGCTGACTGTTGAACAATCGCTGAAAAAAAGGAGCTGAAAAAAAGGATCTGAGACAGTAGCACTGCAATAAAAATAACATGAAAAACTTTGACTATCTGGGTCATTCTCACAAAAACAGTCATTTTCATGTCCCCAGTATATTTTATGTTTGTTTTACAACTTATGAAAAAAAAAATTTCAGCGAAAGTGTCCTTCAGAATGCAGGCTAACAAAAGAATAAAAATAAAACTATCAATTTTTATTTATTTCTTATTTTAGGTAATTGAAATACACCAATACGTCATTCCCTCACTTGTCCCCACTGTTGATTCAAAAAAAGAAAAAATTGTTTCTGAAATAAAAATAAAAAAATTTACAAATTCGTGTTTTTTATTTCAGAATATTGAGATATTCAAAAACCAAAAAGAAAATCAATTGTAAATTTAATTTCTGATAAAAATATTAACACAGCACTATTTTAAACTTTGTCCCTAGTGTTTCACGTCATTTCCTCACAACAATGTTCTTATCACCTGCAATCTTCTTAGAATAAAAATATTTTAATAAAAACTTCAGCAGTTAACAACTGGCACCATAGAACAAAATTGCAGTATGTTTCCATCTTCAACTTAAAGAAGCTTTGCTGTGGAATAAATTTGAATGAATCAAACCAGGTAAAATTTTTTACATTTGTCATTCCCTCATGTCGTTTTTTAGAGTAAAATAAAATACAACTTCATCGAGAAAGTGGATAATTATATGTTGCTTTCTTGTATGAATATAATTGTATGTGATTGATTTCAGAAATTAATTAGGCCTAACTGTTATTTTTAAATTTCATTAAATTTGTCATTCCCTCACTAGTGTATAGAGTGAGGGAATGATTCAAGATGAGTATATTATTACATTTCCCAAACCTTTAAAAACTATTAAGTTTATAAAACTAAATTATAATAAATGTTAGATATACTTAGTATGTTATCATTTTCAAACTTCAGGTAGCTGTAACTTAGAGAAAAACATGTATTAAAATAAAATATCATTCCCTCACTTTTTGAACAGTGAAATTAATTAATTTATTTAAATATTAAGTATAATTTATAGGATATATACTTTCTTTATAATGCCATTACATATTTCGATTAATATAAAAAAGTTTCAGAGCTTTTTATTCACTTTACTTTTTTGGGATTTTATGAACTGAAAAATGACAGTTTTCGTGAGAATGACCCATCTATTAACAACAGTTTAAGAAAAATCTTAATAAAATTTGTAACTCAGAAATCCTTAGAAAAGCAAAACAGAAAATAATTGAAGTGGATATTAATGGATGGAAATGGATTGGTCATGTTTTACTTAAACCTGGAAAATTTAAAGTAAAATAAGTTTTTGATTGGAACCCTCAGGACAATAGAAAAAAGAGGAAAACCTAAAAATACTTGGTGCAGGACGATTTTAAAAGAATTGAAAAAATAGGAAAGACATGGAGAGAGGTAAAATATTTGGCCAGAAATGGAGTGAGATGGAGAACTATGATAGAAGTCCTGTGCTTCAATTCAGAGTGATGAGGAACATGTATATACGAATGATTTTTATGAAAATTTTTTTTTGTTGGTAATTTAGCCCAATTTAAACTTTATTTGTAAATTAATTTGTTATAAACAGGTTTAACAATGCTGACAATTAAAGATACTTTATGAAAAACATCATAACTTGATGAAATTTTATTACCTGATTTTGATGATGTTTGATCAGATTCAGGGTCGAAGTCAGAAAAATCATATTGCGACATATCATCTTTACTATAAACATCTTCATCATCATCTTCAAATGCTCCAACTCCAAAAGCCTAAAAACATAAAATTAAATATTATTAATTATATGCATACAAATAATTTTTTTTGCATACATTATTAATTAGTTAAATAATGAACGAATGTTGAATTATTCCTAAAAATGATTTTAACAACATCCATGAAACTTAGTTTTTTACTAAAATAAAAACAAGTAAAGAAAAAAAAATAGTGGTCAAAAGAAAATGGCAAATGCATTAAATAGACTAGAATGTACTTTATAAAAAATAAAGAAATTGAATTTTAAAAAGCAGAAACTTTGAAATAACAAACAATTTCGAAGTAAAGTGTAGTCTAACAGGTAATATTTACACACTAATTGACAAAAAAAAAAGTTCTGTAAAAAAAGATCACTTGAAAAAAGAACAAGTACATATTAGGCTACTCATAAAAAATTAACACTTTTTTTGTATTAGTTTGGTAGTAGAAGAAAAGAAAAACTTTTCCAGATGAATACAAGACATTATATGTCTAAATTTATGAAACCCTGGGCGATATAGAATATTCAAAAGTTTAATTTATGAATAAAATTTATTGGAGTTTATTTAGAACGTTTTAGTTTATTTCGATATTAAATTACAAAATAATAGCTGGTGGCATGATACAGTTTCAGTGTAAAATTGCCAATCAACAAAATGTTAAAAAAATTGTATATTTTTTCTGTTAGTCTTAGACGCTTTCAACATTTGCAGAAATTATGCAAAGTTAGTAGTGACAGTATTATTAGTTAAAATACACAATTTTAAATAAATAAACAAGAAAACAAAGAAAGGAAATTTAATTTTAGAACAATTTTGATTTTTTGACAATTTTGATGTAATAAACCAATCCATCAATAGCTAACTTCTAAAAAATCTGAAATACACATTTAAAAACTGTTAGTCATCATCAGGTTGGTTAATTCTTTTTATAATGTTTTAGATTAAGTAAAATAATGTAATAGATAAAACAGAAAAAATCCTTATAATGATAGTATCTTTCAATTAACTAAGCTATAAATAAATAACTCAATTTGATCAAAATAAAAATAAGTTTTTTTGTAGGCTAATTCAATTGCTGATTGAGGAATTCAAATTTAGACTAATTAGGCATACATGGCATAGATGACCAGGCTCTATGATTGCACATAAAAAAAAGTTTTCAAACAGCTGAGTAAAAAGTTACTTTTGTCTGTATTTAAATATAAATAAGTTGTTGAACAATAATAATAAAAATTTAAAGCTGTTTTTTTAATCTCATTTCCAACTGTAGTAATTTTATAAACAATTCTATGACATTAAAAATTGGATACTAACAATAATCTGTCTATTCTATTGACAACCATAATAATTTGGTAGCATTAGAATTTTAATTACATTATTCAAATTGGATTTTTGAAAATTTCCAAAAACAATTCTATGTTATCTGCTGTTACTCCACATAATATTATGATAGAAACTGGTCAAATTATGTAAAATCAAACTAAAATGTAAAATTAAAAACTAATGTATGCAGTTAGCAAATTATTAATGTTATTGATTTCTTCAAGTTTTTTTAAATCAATAAAAGTGCAAAATTAGTTTTATAAAGTGAAATAAATAAAGCAATCAAATAGAACATTAGAGAGCATTTCTTACTTGACCAGTTATTGCTATTTTTCTCTTGTCTTTTTTGAGAAATGATTTTGTAGCTGTAGGATTGTCTTTATCAAATCTTGCACTTAAAACAGATTGTTTAGATAATCCAATGTAACCCAAGCCAAAACAATCATCCTTTGGCTTATAAACTACTTCATTGGTGTCTTCAGGAGCAAAAGTGTAAGATAACATAAATGGATCATCATCCTAAAAAACAAATTCTAGTTAATTATATGTTTTTGAAAGCAAATAAAAACCTGAAACTAAATTAATAAAATCATAATTATGTATTTACCATATTGTATTAATGGCTTGAATAACAATATTATTTTAAGCATTTTCACAATATTGAATAAAATAAAATGCATATTTTACTTTTCAATAAAGCAGCTTTTGGTTCATTTTAAAAAGTAAAAGCAACTTTAGCAATTCATTTAATAAACATATAAGTTTGACCAAAAGCTGTCTAATATGCCATTGTTGTGTCAAAATGTCAAATATAAAATATTCTTATGTACAACAATCATTAGGATCTTTTGTTATGATACTTGTCAAATAAAACCTAAAAATAGTTCTTGTAAACTTTATACTAGTCAAAGGACTTTTTTTAAAATATAAATAATTAGCCATTTGAATACTAGTTACCGGACAGTTAATTCCTTAAAATTCAGTAACACTTGCAAAGAAAAATTCTGTGGTGTTAGGGGAAACGTTTGTTAAATAATCCACAAATCAAGGTTATTTTATCTTTCTTTGTTAATACCAGACTTTTTTACCTCATAGTCTTTAAGTTTATTGGCATAAACCAAAAATGCTCTTTTACACAATATCAAAAGAAAATGGATTTTTAATTTTAAAAAATTTAAGCTTTGTGGAGAAATAAGATGGAAAATTTAATGAAAAATTTTAATACATTATTATGTAGTGCTAAGCAGAGTTGGCCGTCGATTACAGTAATCGATTACAATTGTAATTGATTACAGATAATTACTGCTATGTAATCAATTACATGTAATCACGATTACAAGTAATCAAAATTTTTGATTACATCAGAGTAGAGCGAAAATGTAATCGATTACATTTTTCAATTACAGTAATCAATTACTTGTAATCATGATTACAAAGTTTGATTACAGCTGTAATCATGATTACATAGTCGATTACAGTAATCATGATTACAACTTTCAAAAAATTTTGATTACAGCTGTAATCATGATTACAATTTTGATTACAGTAATCAATTACTTGTAATCATGATTCCAAGTAATTGCAATTGCAAGTAATCACAACGAAAACGATTATGGGGAATTACGATTACAAGTAATCAAAATATATGATTACATGTAATCATGATTACATGTAATTGTGATTACTTGTAATCAAACTATACGATTACAAGTTATTACGATTGTATACTAAATGCAAATTCATTATGTAAGTATGCATGAGTTTAAATATTTCTATGTACATAGAATTACGCACGCATGAATGTACAATATTCATAATTATATAGTAATATACTTAATGCAATACGCATATGCTTAGTACATATAATTATGCACTTATGATACATATAGGCATGTGTGTTAGTTTGTACAAAAAGGCACTGTTTTGTATCTTTGTATACATAGACAATATATGTATGAACGTATATGAAAATAATGTTTATGCGTTTGCATGCTTTTATGTACTTAAGTACATACATTGTATAAATTTACGATAATATCACATATATACAATGTACGTATGTATATAAAATTGTACGTATTTAAGTACAATATGTAAGAATGTTATTTAAAGGTGCAATATATGCACATAGTTGCATAAATAAAATGCGTACATGTATACATGCACATTTATATGTACATCGATATATGTACACGCAAAGTATGTACTTATGTACAGTGTACGTATGTATTTGTATAACTACATACTTTGTTAATACTTATGCGCATGTAATGTATGGATGTACAAAAAATAGTTATATGCACAATGTATGCATGTACATACAATGTATACATGCGCATAATTACAAGTAATGTATAAATACATGCATACATTTAAATATATGTAATTACAATACACACATACATTGTGCATACATTAAAAAAATTTATATAAGTAAAGTCATTAAAGTTTGTTTTAAAATTTATTCTGAGGCATATAAAACTCGACCTCATATTTTTTAGAAAGCAAACAATAATTTTATTTTAAATTTCTAAATATTATTTCCACACGCAAAATTTATCATTTTTTTTACCATTTAAAAAATTTCTATGAATCATGCATAATGTTATAAAAAAAAAATCTGTATTGTCAAGCATTTCATGAAAATACCTGAAAATAATTTTTTATTCAAAGAATCTCAAAATGATTTAGAACAATTAAAGCTGAAAACTAAATTTAAATATCGTTTGATTTTGTCATTTAACTTGATTGAGTCATTAAAAGTTAACTTATATGCATTTTATTTATTGCATTGTACACATATTTAGACATAAATGTAATGTACATATGTATATGTGTAATGTATGTACGCGTGTACAATGTATGTACATACATTCATGTATTGTACATGCATATATAGTACATATGGATATGCATACATGTAACATACGTGTATTGTACACGTGTGGATACATTCATTGGACATATGTACATATGCATAGATAGGGACAGCATGCATGTACACATGTAAAATTTGTACGAAAGAATTATGCCCAATATTTTTATGCACATATGTACTGTATATGTACACACATATGTACATTATATGAGCATTTTATGTTCATTTCATCATGTATTCATTATATGAATATACATCTGTATGCTATATGTCTATACATCTGTACAATATATACAACTGAGCAATATATGCATCTCAAATGTGTGTATGTACATACGTTATGCATGTCAAATGTATGTATGAATATATGTGAAATATAAATACGCCTAATGTACGTACAATTGTACACAAATGTGTTATGCATATTTGGATACATACATTGAACATGAACATATTGTCCAGTGTTTTCACTACAGCGCGAGAATATCGCATATTTTTTTCTTTTCTCGCATTAAAAAATAATTACCGCGAGAAATTTGCGCATTTTATAAACCAATTTCGAAATTAGCGAATTTCTCGCATTTTGAAAAAAATTTCTCATTCCGCCATTTAGAATAAAATCCGTTTCACTTTTCTTAATGGATCTCTCATTATTTTCAACATCTGCCCCATTATCTAGCTTCCCTATTTACCAGTATTGTTCAGAACCTTTAAGAAGAACAGAACACCATCCCTCCGAACCACGGAACCTCTTCCAGAAATCATTTCTCTGCAAAAACGAGCTTACCGTAGGTAAGGTTTCTTCATGTAAGACGTTCAAATTTTTTGCACATTAATGTAAGATGGACAAATACTTTCTAAGGGCAATATCTTCTACTCCGAAACGGACACATGAAAATAAAACAAATGTGGGTAGAAACAATCAAAACAAATACGCATTTAAGCAACCTAATGAGAATAGCTGATGAAAAAGTAGATGTAGAACATTTTCCATATGATGATGCAGAAAAAATATTCAATGCTTCAAAAATTAGAAGACGTTAAAAATGCATTATAATTAAAGAAATGATTTTTATTTTTCAAGTCTGTTTTTTTTTTTTAATTTTTAGAAATCTCACTTAACTTTTTTAAATCTCACCCTGTTTTTGAGAAAGGGTGAGAAATTCTCACCCATTTTTTTCTATGATGAAAACACTGTATTGTGTATATGTACATGAATACATTGGACATGCATATCATGTACATGTATACACACATATATTATACATACTACATATATACCTATATTGTACATGCATACATATATTATACTGTTCATAAATAAATTGCACATGCATGCATGGGACATACATTGTACAGACAATGTATGCATGTTCGTACAAACAACAAGTACTTGTATATACATGCGTACATGAACATAGATACACATTTTACATACACAAATATTTGCATAAAATGCATATATTCATTGTGTATAAATGTACATGTCTACATTGTTTGCACATATGTACGTAATTATTATCTATATACATACGTACATATATTTTATACTTACAATATAAGTGCATGTACATGTGTGTGAAACTAAGATGTCTGAACATATGCACATACATTTTAGTTACATTCATTTGTACGTATACAAATACGTACAAAATGCAGTACATGCAAATACATGCAAAATGTATCATTATAAAATACATTATACTATCCACTGGAAAATATAATCATTTATGAGAATAAGTCTTGTAATCGTGTATTTAGATTACATGTAATCATAATTACATGTAATCAAATTACATGTAATCATGATTACATGTAATCATATATTTTGATTACTTGTAATCATAATTCCCCGTAATCGTTTTTGTTGTGATTACATGTAATCGCAATTACTTGGAATCATGATTACAAGTAATTGATTACTGTAATCAAAATTGTAATCATAATTACAGCTGTAATAAATTTTTTTTGAAAGTTGTAATCATGATTACAAGTAATTGATTACTGTAATCGACTATGTAATCATGATTACAGCTGTAATCAAACTTTGTAATCACGATTACAAGTAATTGATTACTGTAATTAATATTGTAATCATGATCACAGCTGTAATCAAAATTTTTGAAAATTGTAATCACGATTACAAGTAATTGATTACTGTAATCAAAAAATGTAATTGATTACTTTTTTGGCCAACTCTGGTGCTAAGCAATATTAGGTGCATGATATCTGATAAGTGAAAATTCAGGTACTTTTTTTGAAAGAGCCTAAATCACTTATACACCAAAAAAAAAAATTTAAAAAGATAGAATTATAGTTTTTATTAGGTAGATATTATACAAATTGACAATTACATAATAGATGATATTTACTAAAAAATAAACAGAGTTTAACATAACTAAGTGAATTCTGTAATAAGAATAATGTAAATAAAAAAATAATATCCGTAACTGCAATAAAAAATGAAAGGTATATAAATATATATATGAGCAAATCTGTTACAAAAGAAGATCAAATCCATTAGAGCATGTATTGAAAGTTCAATTTGAGTCATATTGAGAATATTGTATTAAAAAAAATAATTTAGAGAAATTTAGGTTAAATTAATTTAAATAGCAATAATCAATGCAGAAGACTTAATTTTCAAATTTAAATACTTCACTCAAAATACAACTCACAGGTGATAAAGACTCAGACTCAGGAAGAGAACAACCATATACTTTAGCATTAGCTCCTTGTTTTTTCCTGCGAGGACCAATACCTTGACCAGGGCGCCAACCAAGTCTTTTTAAAATTTCAATTCCTATGGAATCCCTGTCAAATGAAAAATGACAAAAGTTAAATATAATACAAATAAGAATAATAAGGGTAATATAGTTTAAATTTAATAAAAGTTTTATAAAGAAAAATATATTGATAGCAAACATACAACTGCCAGATTTTAGGGCAACATAAATTTGTTTACAGGGATTTAGACCCAGACCAGACATTATAAATTTTGTAATTTCCCTTAGATGTTAAAATCAGTTTTCAATTTAATAAGTTATTCCATTTTATTTAGACTCTTTATAATGGGGCTTCAATATAATTTTTAAAAAAATACAAAGCAGCCTTTCTAACTAGAAAAACCAGATGAAAACTGCGTCCTTACTTCCAAATTGTCAATACCAAATTAAGTTTGACATAGAGGTCAGTAGACTTTTATTACTGCATTGATTTTCACTAATATCAATGAAATGTTTTTCAAAACACTAGTATCATGATCCAGTGAAATTCAAATTAATTTAGGATGATCCAAAGGTTTCCGAATAACCGTAAGGTAGAAATTGCTAGTAACAAATCTTTAAGTAAAAATTACTCTGTATATCGTGGTGGAAAAGTTGATCATCGATTTTTGATTACAAGAGAGCCGGGTATAAATAGACTGCAATAAGTTGGACATAAATTGACTGCTGAAAAATCAATACTTTCAAAGTTCTTCACGTAATAGCTGACAAGTTTGTCTAACTTTACAGTTCAATCAGGAATGAGGTTGCATTGTTCAATTCACTTATTTTATTTAAACAAGAAAATGATTGATTATAGTGACACCTATGAATCTTTCGATTGCAGATTAAAAATATATTTGACAACTAATGCATATTTAAAGTAAACTTCATTAAATACTTTTAAATTATAAAAATTTAATGAAAGTATTAAAAGAATAAGAATTTGATGCTAAGAAATGACAATAATGATGAATGCGAATTTAAAAAATTCAATAAAAGTTTTATTCTAAAATTTTTTTTTATCATACAAACATTATGTTTTAGAACTACAACACAATAAAGTTAAAAATGTGAATGAAAGTAAGTAAAGAAAATTATGAAAGAAAAAATTGTCTATAAAATTTGAGGATCTTTGATCAATGGAAAAACAATGAAATTAAAGATAAGATAAAAGCAAACATTAATACTTTGTTTTACTCTATTAATAATTAATAAATAAAAGTATAACTTTTATTAATTGAAGTATTAAATAAAATGATATACAGTGTAACGTCCCATATCCGGACGTCCCTTTCCCGGAAGGGTCGATTTCCCGGACACTTTTTAACAATCAAAATAATCAAACATCTCTCCATCATCCCCTTTCCATAAAAAAAAGAAAAAAAAATAAGTCTTTTGACACATTTTCTCTTTTTTGCATCGAACCCATAAATCACCAGAAAGGAGAAGTGAAGATCTACCAAGACCATTGAGTGACCGTTAGTGACGCTCCTCCCTTGGAATGTAGGAAAAAGAGGGAGATTTGTTTTCAAAAGACCACAACTGAATCCCCTCCCCCCTCCTTTCCCATGCAGGTGGCTAGTAAAAGAGGCATTTCCTGGAACCTTTTTATTGTAAGAAGAAATACTGTGGAAAAGGGTAAACGGGGTAAGCGTTAAGGTGGAGGGGGAGTCAAAATGGAAAATTTGAATAGGTCTAAAAGGATATACGTCCTTGAGAAACAAAACATTCGTTCTTCCCCATACCATGTAATATTTAGGAGGCGGGGGGAAAAAGGGGGTAACATTCTCTCTTTAGCAGATTCTTTCAGTCATAGAAGAAAAAATAAAGAGAACCCGATCAGCGTGCCCCGCCTTTATGCTTGATTGATAGCCAATGATTGGAGAGAAAACAATAATTTGTTACTTCCCCACCCTCAACTTAAATGATCTCCTCTTTACACTTATTTTCTTTCACAAATAAGGAGGAAATGAATTTTTCTCCTCCACCTACCCACCTTAATGAATGACGGGAATTTCCCTTTCTTGCTTGAATCATTCTAGTTAAAAATGGCGGATTATTATTTTCATATGTCAATTTTTTTTCGTTTTCTATATTTTAAGCAATAATATTTTTTTTCTAATATTTCATATTTTATTGATTAGATATTCTAATACTAAAACATTATTCCCCTTAAAAATAATGTTTATTTATTTTTTGCTTCTTAGATTTAGATCATTTTAAGCTTTGTTCCAGAATGACATTAATTTCCCCTTCCTGCTTGAATCGTTCTAGTTCAAAATGGCGGATTAATATTTTCATAACTGTTAAATTTTTTTGTTTTCCATATTTTCAGCAATAATATTTTTTTCCTAATATTTTAGATTTGATTTAGATATTCTAATGCTAAAACATTGTTCCCCTTAAAAATAACGTTTATTTATTTTTTGCTTCTTAGATTCAGATCGTTTATTAAATCATTTTAAGCTTGTTTACCTTGGGGGTATATTAAAGGAATTATAAGGAAAAATCTATTATACGGACTTCTGGAAGTCCCACCGATTCCGGATACGCGACTTTACACTGTATAGTAAAAACTAGATATGATAAGTAGGGCATACTACAAGAAGTATGCTATTAGGATAAATTTCTAAGTCACCATTAAAATGCTAATGTTTTATATATACAAAGATTGTATGTTTATAATGAGTTAAAAATTGTTAGCCTTCTGCTATTATGGGAAAAATGCATTTTCTTGCTGATCAAGTGAGCAATATTGCATGCAAATTTTTTTTAAATGAGAGAACTTTTTATTTATTCTTAATATTCATACTGAAAAACAAAAAATTTATATCATTTCTGTCGCCCAATTTCAATTCTTTATTTTTATAAGGCAATGCATGGGTAAGTTATCATCTGCACACTAAAAGAAAAGTTTTTCCCCTAATTTTAGAAATCCTGCCATGCACTTCAAAAGAATGTGCCTTTCGTTGACAACATACCAAACATATTCCCATATTTCCTTTCCAGACAGCTTACTATTAAAATTTACTGTTATTAATGACACCAAAAGGTATGACCCGTTATTTAATTTTCTTGTGACGATTTGGAAACTTGTTCAAACATTCCAGTAATAAAAATTTCTGCCTTCATAAAGTACAGAGCTATATTCAGTCTAAAATCTATGAATAAAAACAGTTTACTACTTAAACGTGTATTTTAAATCAAAAAAGTTGTTTAAAATAAGAGAAAGAGAGATAAATATATTTATTTCATTAAGTTTTTTTGAATTTATTAAATATGTATATTTGCTTAGAACAATTTTACTATAAAGACAGTTTCATCTGCTTTGATGTATTGTTATAACAGACTTCTATTGTAACTGCAATTAATGATTACAAGAAAGTTAAATATGCTATAAAATAAAAATACTTTTACTTTTATTAAAAAAGAGAGATGGAGAGTTAATACATTACCTAACAGGCTTAATTAATTCCTTTAACGGTGCTTCACCAGGAATAACACTATCTGCCTCATTAAATTTCCTTTTTTTGACTTCTGAGTTTGGATCTTGAAATTTATAGGATGTATGGATTTTTTTTGGAGCAAAACCAAACTCTCCCAAATCCTTAAGAAGAAGAAGAATATGATGACAAAAAATTATTTAAAAAAAAAAGATAGTTTTTATAAATGATTTCTATCATAAAAACATGTTTTATTCATAAATAAGAACATTAAAATAAAATATCATACAGAAAATTAAATTTCATAAAAATTTCAACATCTTTAATAAAAAAACAATTTTAAAAGTAAAATTTGATTAGCAGTATCCAGTATAAAAAAAAGATTCACCCTAAACTTACAAACTCGGTAATATGGGGAAAATTGTGAAACAAAATTTCTTTACATCATTATTATAATAATTCAAAAACTAAATTGACCGCTAACAAATTATTTATAAAAACAACACATTTTACAGTTCCTTCTACACCATTTTATTTAACTTCAATTAGTTTAAGTAAATTAAAGATGAAATTTCCTGATCAATTTTGTACCAAAGTCCCTATTTTGTATTTGAAAAAAATACTTGCTTCTTTTAAAAATATTTCTATAAAAATCTGATTTTATAATTTCAATATTTAAAAACTTTAAATGTAAAAAGAAAAAAAAACTGAAAATATTTTAATGAAGTCTGTTAAAAGTTGAAAAAGTTTATTATATCTTGAAATATGAAAAATATTGTTTTGATTAAATGCTATTTTAAGTTTGAAAAAACTATCCATATATGAGTCAAGACCAAAAAAATTTTTTTGCTGTTTATTTCAATCAGTTTTAGCTTAAATTTTTCGGAAAAATGTTCTTACAAATTCATAGTGTTATAAATTATGCATAAAAAACATCCATTTATTTTTAAAAAATTTCTATGGCCTTCATATTATTTTTATGGTGGATTCTATAAAATAATTTATTTTTTTTAGTCACAGGTAAGTTTTAATATAATCTAGATTAATTTATTTTCAATTAAATCTTTATCATAATAAAAAGGCACAGTAAGTAAAGAAAACTGAAAAATTTCAATAGTCATACCTTGTACAGTACACCATTTAGTAAAAGCGGAAATATTTTTTATAAATATTTTAAGTTTTACAAAAGAAAGAAAAAAAAAAAAAAATTCAACCTCACACTTTTTCACTTATGATTTTTAAGTTTCATAACTTGATGAAATGGTATTTAGATAAAATTTGAATTTATTAATCAATATTAATTTATTATCTTAAAGGTAATAATTAAGACACCCAAAGAAATTTTTAAGCAGTCAGTAAAGCCATTATAAACCAAGACTTGCATCACAGGTTGTCAATTACTGCTGAAGAATTAACTAACAAGTTTTTATTTATGTATATCATTATATTGCACAATTGTTATAAGTTACACTTAGATGCCGGTTTACATTAAAAAAAAAAATAAAAAAAAAGAGTCTTCAGATAAAAATTTATCTTTTGACAGTGCTAAAAATCCAAAGTTAATGCTTTAAAGGCATTCAGTAGATATAACGTTTTAATTAAAAAAATTTCTCATCACATAAGAACTATAATATATGTTTTTTAAAAGTATGTAGAGTTAATCTTTTTATATTATATAGCAGACTCCAGGCTAATTTAATAAGATTTGTGTAGTGCACAAGTCCCTTATGATGTGAACTCTTATTTCTTTCACAATACTTTTTAATTTCAATGGGAGAATTTACTTCTTTATAACAAAATAATAAATGTTGTTATTCTTTGTTGGTGTTTTACAAATAAATTGATATTTCCCTGAAATACAGAGCTACTTTTAGTAGATTAATGCATTAAAGGTGCATTGCAATAAATGATCATCTACCTCTTCATCCATAAAATCCTCTGGATTTTGTTGAATACGTTCAGCAGTTTTACTTCGTGATGAAACAAATGATGATGGTGCCCATCCTATAGAATAAAACATTTCAAAAGAAAAATTTAAATAAAATATACATTCAAAATGTCAAGAAAATTCCTTTATTGATAATCAAGCATGCTTCATTTTACATTATTGTGCTACCAGTTAAGAATGATTAAATGTTTTTTATGTTTAATATATATAGTATATGATTTTTGTTCATAGGATTTCATTTCTAATGTTTTAAACATAATGAAGAACTGATAATTTAGAACCAAAACAAGCAAATATTTAAGGGATTGTCATCTTAATTTCTATAAATACATAATCATTTAGAAAATTATGATGTATATGTATATATGATGTATATGTTATGTATCTATATTTTTCTTATTTAATGTAACTCAGTAAGCTTTGTGCCTTTTCAATAGATATATGTATTATTTATTATTAGTTTTAAAAGAAATTAAACAAGAAAACAGCAGTGAACAAGTATACCACATATTTCTTAACTTAACAAAAAATATTTTCCCATTATAGAAAACTCAAGTAATATCATTTATCAACAATTAAATAAAGTAATAAATTCAAAATATAGAGTCAGGATAGAAAAATGTTAATGAACAAGCATAACATAAATTATTGTACTTCATATTTACATAATGAAAATTGAGCATTTATGAAAGTTAAAATAATATTTACCTTCTTTTGTACCAACAGTATTGAAATAACCTGCAGAAAACCCTCCAGTAAATGCTCCATGAAATCTTCGACGACCTTTTTCATCTCGCACTTCTAACTCTCTTGCAGCTTTTTTACGCAACACATACTCTAAAAATTTGAATTAAGTGTAATAATTGTAGAAATGTTAAGTAGTTCTTCATTTCGTGTCAACTGGATTTAATATGGAAAAAAATTTAGAGTTTATATAGTTAAGTGAAAAATAAATAATCATGCTAATAAATATTAGAAAATATGGTTCTGCTGCTTTTTTTTATGATGCACATACTTTTAAAATACACATAATGTTAAATAAAAGAAAAAAATGATTTTGTTTCTATATCAGCATAAAATGAAACAGTGTGTCAACAAAAATTAATAAATATGAACTTCAATATTTTACAAATTTCAGTATACCACAGTTGGGTTATAAAGTTTGTAACACAAAACAGAAAAAAATAGTAAAAATTCTCAAGGTAGAAAGTTTTAAAATAAAAAATGAGTATGTCCCAAGTTTCTTGATTTGATTTTTTTTATAATCTTAATTGAGTTTTAAATAAAGTTATGACTTAATATTTTTAGAAAAAATATTCTGGTAAAGTGAATACTAATTCCTTATGTTTTACACAAAAGAAAAAGGGTCATTGTACTTGTTATCTTAGTAATCTATATAACAAAAAACAACTAAGTTGAAGTGTTACAGATTTTTTAACATTATTTTTTATTGCTTTTTAAACTTTATCTTATACATTTAGTCTGATTTTTCTTAAAGAAAGAAAAAAAAAACTGAATACTTTTGACCAAAAAATAAAGTCTTAAATTTTGTGAGACAAATGTTGTGCATTCTATGTATTATTATAAACAGTGTTTAATCTTATCATCACTTTAAGTACAAAAGTCAGAGAGAATGCAGCATGCTTAGAGGTTTACTTGAAGTAGAACATGG